ACATGCCGGTTTATTTCGTCCAGATTTCCTGCCAGTTGAAGAGAAAGATGGGAAGATCAGACAGATATCAAATTACAGCATCTTTATTTTTCCCTCTAGCTTGGGGTGTCTTAATCTACTCGGAACTATAGAAGTACACTAGCTTGTGGCTAACCTTTAAAGTAAACTAATCTCTTTAATATTATTATTATTTACATAAGTACATGAATATGCTCATCAGTAGTTGTGTTATCTTGAGGATTTGACTCACTCTTTGAATCAGTGATCTAGTCTTCTATGAAGGCCTTCATTGTTCTACTGATTGCGCCAAAACCTCAGACTTAAAGCATCAAGCCTTAATTCAGATTACCACAATAATCTGTTGCACCATCCTGTGTTCCCTCATTGTCGCTGACTGATTGCTCATCTGCTCGCCTGATGGATGGTACACGTATGCGCCAATGTGTTTGAGCACAGATATGCAGGGTGCATGCAACTGCTCGCAGAAGGGTGGATCATCGCTGTCAGCAGAGGAATGCTCTGCAGCACTCAGCAGTCCTGAAACCAATATGCACACGCAACATGTTTACTGCTTCTCGCTGACAGCAGCGTGTGGATCACATTTGAATCTTTGTGCCTCTCCTCGCTGGCTGATCATCAGTTCGGCTTGATCTGCCAGCAAGCTGATGATTTTCAGCTGATCTTGATAAAAATCATCTGAATCTGCTCACCTGGTGATTTCTTGCGAAAAATTCTTGCAAGTGGTTTTTGGTATCTTCGGGGCGTTTTCACACCAGACAGTCTGGTAGATTTGCTTTGATCGGGGACTAAAATTGCAACATTTGTTACATTTGCAGCTGGTGTAGTTCATTTTCACACTGCACTGTCAAAGGAGCCAAACCATTTGAAAAACCTGTTTACCTCCTTGCCTGTGGTGGCGCTGCAGCATCACCTCAAGAAGGGAAGTGCATGAAAACATCCGAAGAAGACATGAGCGCAACTGCCTTCTTCCCAAAATGTAAACAAACATGGAGTCAAGTCAGAATTTAGTGGGTATAAGATTTCGCTTTTGTCTATTTGGTAAAATCCTCGAGCCATTCCTCCCGGTAATGTTACTCTAGCATTTGTTTAGACTGTATTTACCCAGAATGCCTTGCGTCATTGTATGCTTCCTGCTTCTGGAGGTCTCCACTCCATTTTTAATCCTTGTTTGCATTTCAAAGACAATTCACTTTAATCAAATCAAGGCCTAGATTTGGAAGCAGACAAGAGTTTGCTTTTTTGGTTTGCATCAAACGTTGATATATTCACATCTCCCCAAATGAAACCACTGTTTGATTAAAGTGAACTAAACAGGGCTGGTGTGACTGCTCCTTTAACGTAGCAGTCACCTAACGTGAAGATTTATTTTTGTTTTTAATTTTTCTGGTTCTTTTGTTTTTGTTTGTTTTGCAGAGGAGGTCGACTACACCACATTTGGCACCAACACCTTGACTCGTAAAAAGAAGGCAGTGGTGACGCTTCGCAACAGCGACATCAACCGCAAGCGTCCCCGCGTCCCAATCGGCATGCCGCAGGACTTCCGTCCCGTTTCCTCCATCATCGACGTGGACATCCTGCCTGAGTCCCACCGCCGCGTCCGACTCTACCGCCACGGCTCGGACAAACCCCTGGGCTTCTACATCCGCGACGGGACCAGCGTTCGAGTGACTTCCCATGGTCTGGAGAAAGTTTTCGGCATCTTCATATCCCGGATGGTCCCTGGAGGCTTGGCGGAGAGCACTGGGCTGCTGGCGGTTAACGATGAGGTGCTGGAGGTGAACGGCATCGAAGTGACGGGGAAGTCTTTGGATCAGGTCACGGACATGATGATCGCGAACAGCCACAACCTGATCGTGACCGTCAAACCGGTGAACCAGCGCAACAACGTCGTCCGCAGCAGCAGAATCTCCGGCAGCTCAGGCCAGTCGTCCGACAGCAGCGGCTCCATCGGCAACCCGAGTTTGTCGGTGGTTCCGGCGCGGGAGTCGACTTCTGTGGCTCATCACAATTACCATGACGACCTGGAAAGCGACGAAGATACAGACATCGTCATCGAGAACAGCCTTAAGAGACCGTCTCTCCGGTCCAACACCTCGCTGGCTTCCAATGCGTCCCGAATGCACCAGCAGACTCCGACGGCTCCTCCCAGCCCTCCGACAAGGCCGCCGTCGGTGGTCTCCACCTCTTCCTTCCGGTCCCAGACCAGTCTCAACGGAGGGTCCCACCACCAGCACCACCAACAACTACAACCCAGCATCAGCCTCAGCCACCAGTTGCACAGAGACCTGAACCTAAAACACAACCAGCACCAGCAGTCCAAACACAGCGAGCTGCACATGCAGCCGCCTCATCACAGCAGCAACCCGGCGCTCCGGCACAGCAACGGCAGCCTGCACAAAATCCTCAGCTCTCTGAAAACGGACCCACGCCACAGTCTCGCTCTGCCCAAGGGAGGGGTGGAGGAGGATGGCACCGTCATTACCCTATAATAATTACAGATAAGGAAGCATAAACATCCCAGCTGCTCAGAGACGATACGGCAACAGCCGGATGCACACGAGCACAGACTGTGTAGCCTCTGATGTTTTTTTTTTATTGTAAGGCAATAGAAAGTTTACAATAATGATACTGTGTATATATCTTGTATTTTTATGTTTCTTATGTTCAAAAATGTGTATGTTCTTTATAAGCGTCAGAACGAATGGCTTTTTATAGTCCACTGTAGGTTAGAGCTCTGAATGTACCTGCAGCCTGGTGTCTTTTCTTGGTGTCCATGTTTAAGACCCTCTTTCATTCTCAGTCGAGGGACTAATGTGGGGTTTCTTATGGATGTTTCTTTTTTTTACAGAGTAATTCTATCCTACTTATATTCCCATAATGCTGTGTAGAGTTTGTTTTTACTAGGTCTCTTATGCATCCATGATTGTGATCAAATCTTTGTATCTGTTTAAATAAATTATTCTCTCATTCATGAAAAGCAGACTTGATGAGTCAGCTGTATGTGCCATTGTCTGCATGATGACAAAGTTCTGAAAATGAGATGCGCCAACCAGACGTTTTCCTTACAACATTGTGGGGTGAGTTTTTGAGTACGCGTTAGGGACATAAATATTTAACTGGGAACAAGAGAGAACTTGTGATTTCTTCTCTGCAAATTGGCAGACAGCCAAATTGTTGGGGTTGTATCCCGGTCTATTTGTCATTGCTTTCAATCGATCAATATGTTCATGCATGTCCACATTATGATTCATTTGTTTCTCCGTCCTTTCATCCGTCCAACTATCAAGCTTTTGTTTTATTTTGAGCATGGAAGAGAAAATGAACTTAATTTACAAACAAAAAATAACAAAAATGGCGTGACATACAGGCTATTTACCTCAGGCTGCAGTTCAATAATGCTCAACATGGAGTAGGAATAGGAAAATCTTTTAATCCTATCCCAGATCAATCGTCAGTTTGTTCATTCATACATTTGTCTCCAGTTTTTTTATGTTTTTTTATGAATTTCATAGTCAAAGTTTGACATCAAGGAATTTCTGCAATTTGTATTTTAATGACCTCTTTGGTTTCTCCCTCAAAATAGATGAAAAAATCTGAAAATTAAGATTTAGGGAAAGGCTTTTCATGTGAAGCGGTAACTGCTGTTCAGCCACTCAAAACATATTTCGGTAGAAAACTTGTCATGTCTTGCATTGAAATTATTCTTCTAAAGATGCATTTCCAACCTGATCACAGCTGTCAGTCAGGTAATTTGGACAACATGTTAAATATTGCAGAAACTAAAGAGCTCACTTCAGTTTATCGTTTGGAAAACCAAAATAATTTAGTGAAATTAGGGATTTGTTTTTAAGAGTATGCCTGACAGTCACAGGAGTAATGATGGAAGCGGATGTCTTGAGTTTCTTTCAACTGCAGTAATTGTTTTCTAGGAATTTATGACCAACAGATGACGGCGTGAGAGTCATGAACTTGTTTTCTTTCAAGCATTAAATGACATCTAGTATAGTAGCAGAAAAATTATGTTTTGATTAGTTCCTCTGAAGTATTTTCCACTTTATTTGGGTAGACTGTGATGTTGAGGTTAACTGACTAAATGAGTATATTTAGAAGCTGCAAAGTACATTCTCTGAAGGTTGGATTCCTTTAGTTGTGGATCAGCAATCTTTATTAAGTTTTTGACTGCAGGCAACCTTCATCGGGACCGCAGCGTCTTTCAGTCATGGAGGCCCTACAGCAGCGGCAAACATTTGCTAGTGAACATTCACCCGCCATGTTTACCCAGGATGCTGCACTGATCAACCAGCCAGCTGATCCTTTACATCAGGCTAATCTGTACCGCCATTCGGCAGATTTTAGGGTAAGTGGGGGAACCGAACTGCTAACAAATGGGGTCATTGCATAAACAGTGGAAGAGCACACACTGTACACTCTGAGACTGCAAACTATTCACCATTTTATTGCAAAAGACAGGGGGAAAAATAGTTCATAATGTCATTGACATTAAAAGTCCCCAAGTATAGTTCTCTCAGGCAAGCGTGTGCCCGAATGTGTATGTTTTGTATCTGACAAGTTTTGAAGCAAGTTTATGACAATTCATATTTTTGGAGAAAAGCACTGCACTGACCCTGCAGGCCATGTTATTGTCCTGACTGCCATCTGCTGGCTGTAAATGCACTGACATGTTAAGAGTCGGATGGTAAATTGAAACATTATTATATCTGTTTTGCTTTTAATTAACATAATACAATTCTGTGAAATTTGTTGACATAAGTCAATGATTTATTTCTTTTATTCTGAATTAAATCCAAAGAAAGTGTATATAATATTATATTATATTATTTTATATCATTTACATTATATTATATTGTATTGCATTGTATTATATTATATTATGGAACGAGAGAGAGAATATTTGAAGCGCACTTTCGTAAGTTGTCCCTCGCGAGCTTCCGTTCACAGTGCCTCACACGTGACCCAGTCAGTTGACAGGGCAAAACACTGCAGCTGGTCAGAGGAGGGGAAAAGAGCAGACATGGACCATCATCGGGTGGACAGAGTGGGCCTGCTGTCTCCTCTGGAGGAGTCCAGCGCGGAGATCAGTAGGGACAGCGGCATCGTGTCTCAGAGCGCCAGCAGCCTGTCCATGGTGAGCGACCTGTCCAGCAGCGGCACCGTGTCCCAGAGCCCCAGCTTCGGAGCGGCAGCCGCGGCTAACGTTGTCTCCCGGAGCCCGAGTCTGAGCCAGGCGGCGGGGGAGCACGGGACAGCCGACCAGCAGCACGACTCGGAGCAGGACGACGAGGTCCTGAGACAAACCGCGCTCCAGTACTCGTCCTACATCCGAGCCACGGCTGGAGAAGAGGTTTGTTTAGCCGTTAAGGCACAACATGGAGTCCTCAGCTGAGTTAGTGCGGTTGTTTGTGGCCCTCCGCTGACAGTAGAGCCATGTTGTGGCTCGATGGGAAATAGTTCAGAAGCTTGGCGTGTTTGTGGGATCATAAACGGCGCACGAGTGTTTTTGAGAGCCCTCTGTCACTCCTGATGGACATTAATTGAACAGGCATGACTCCAGGATGTTTATAATGAGTCATGGCTAACTGATGGACAAAGGCTCGTGTGTCCTCAGCTTGGATGTAGGTGTGTGTGAAGCTGATGTTGGTCTATTTAAATTCCCAAAGCTTTTGTGCCACGTTAGAACCACAAACTTCAACAAGTGTTGTTTGACAAACAAACAGATAATCGTAAAGTAAGAAAGACTATTGTAGGGGATTTTCAAACAATTTTACTAATAACAATCTGAAAAGTGTGGCTTACTTTTATATTCAACCACCCTGAATCGACAGAGTGAAATTTTTGTCCATTATTTTTTCAAAAATAGTTCAAATTAACTCAGTTTGGATGGAGAGCTTTGATTAATATCCACTTCCAAATCTTTCCATAGATTTGTGATTGTATTTTGCTCTGGATAATGAAAATGCTTTGGTCTAAGCACACAACTCTGGCTGTATGTTTAGGGCCGTCGTCCTGCTAGAAGGTGAACTTTTACCCCAGATCTTTGCAGCCTCTTACAGGTTTCATCCCGTTCTTGATGGATGGATTGTCCTCCATCCATGGATTGTTATGAGCAGAGCATTGCTGTGATTTCTTTTAACTGGTACATAATTAATACATATTTATTGAGATAACGAAATAAAAAAATTAGATGTAATGAAGTGTGATTTGAGTCACTCAGTTATGTCAACAAAATATCAGGCCAGAATCAGAAAACAGAGAAATGAGGTTACTGCTCCAGCCAGTCACACACACATTTTTCATTTAACAATATAAATTTTGAAGGAAGAAAAAATAAAAAAGATTGATGGTTGGAGATATTTGAGTTGCCCATCAACTCCCCAGATACCTAAATATCGACATAAACAAAAAAAAACTCCATGTCAGTCAATCTTTAAGTTTTAATGATTAATATTTTTTCTTTCTTTTCTCATGCTCAAACTTTACATGACGACTCCTTTTCTGTATTCCAGATCCGTTGCTTGGAGAAAAGCTTGGAAGAAATGCTGACGAGAGTGGATGAGTTTGTGGGGATGCTTGATATGGTGAGCCTGGGCAGTTTCTGAAACCACCGAAGTAACTTTTCTAAAATGAAAATGGCAGCCATTTGCATTTCTTTCGCTCTTCTTTTTGTATATCATGTCCCACTAGATTCGTAATGATACGTCCCAAGTAGTAAATGAAAATCTTCCAAAAATACAACAGAAGTCTGATGAAATGAGACAAATCTACAGAAGAATTGATAAACTGGAGGTAAGTAAATCTTCCAAGGATGTTGTTAATAAGCATTCTGTTGTGCTGCCAGGCCAATGTGGTTGAGTGCTTTACTGACTGTTTTCTTAAATAATAGTACCTGCACTTCTGAAGCTGTTCAGAAGTGCTTTGTGATTCTTGCACAGTGTTTAAAATTATCTTCAATTGTTTGTTTATGGTAGAATTATATATTTTTTCCACTTCTGTGTCATTGCTCTAACAATGCTCACTGAAACCTTTGGTAGTTTAGAAATTTCTTCAGTAGTCATCAGCATGTTGTGTCACTACCAACTTTGGGAATTGCTTGAGGCTATAAAATGTGCTGTAATACATTATTATTAAAGTGGGCAACAAGGACATTCATTTTCAAATCCAATTCAAAACACAGTCAGATCGCATGTGATGTCTTGAGATCCAAATGTGTTTAGAAAAGGGAATGTGGCAGGAACATTGTGCATTTTGGGCTTCAAGAATCTTAAGTTTGTTACTCTTGTGTGTGTGCAGGCCTTTGTGAAGATGGTTGGAACCAACGTCAGTGCAATGGAGGAGCAGGTCACGCAGGCAGAGTCAGAACTAGGAACACTACCGAGTGCTTTCAAGAAGATCCTCCGCACAATGACTGCCCCAGGATTCCTAAATGTAAGATTTCATGACAAAGTTTTCTTTAATGGGTCGTGCTTTTTATCTGGTATGATGCATTCTTTTGATAGAAGATTATTTTGGTTTCATTCTGTGCTCTGAGATGAAGTAGTCACAGTTTGCTGAGTCGGATGTGTTTGCTTCCAGAAACAGACCAGCCCACGAAGACCAGCCCCAAATCAGCGCCAAGAGGTCCCCAGCGTGTTCCGGACAGATGACTATTTCTCATCACAGCCTGAACAGTGACAGAACTGCAGAATGCAAGCCTGGCTCTAACCTCAGAGGCCTGTTTAGTGAAACCGTGCTGACAACTGCCATCCCTCTGAGGAGGGTCCCGTCAGTGCTTGTGGCCTCAAGAAGCAATAGTAGCTTTTTCCTGAGCAATTCACTGGAAGACAAAGAACAATTTACCACAGTTTTATTGTCACTTTCTTTTTTTGAGGTGACGACAAGCTCTGAACTGTAGCAACATGTTTTTTTAAAAGTGCCTATATGGAGTTTTACGCCTTTCAAGTTTGTGGAGAGAAAACTGTATGATGGTTAAACTTTGACAAGTCGGGAAGGAAAAAAAAAAACCTGCTTGTTTACAAGGCACTGTAAAGACGGTACAGTAGATGTAACAGATGAAAAATGACCCCAGCCTCTTTTTCTACAAAAATATATTCCCGTTTCTGGTGTTTGTACAGCTCTGCACGTTGAACTAATCTGTACTTCTATATGACTAATTCCTTGTACCCCAGCAATACTGCTATTACCCAGTTAAGCATTTAATGTCTTCCATTTCAAAATACTCACTTCTTATCTAGCCTTATCTTTCTGGCTGCGGATGACAGTTGCTTCACTGACATGGGGCTAAATCTTTAATAGCACCGTTTTTTTATGGAACAAAGCACAGGCGCAAGAACTAGTAGTTTTAGTTTCTATTGCCGCACTCTTAGCTAAAAGCTTTGCGCCACAAACTGTGAATTATCACAACAGGAAACTTTGATTTGTCTCAGCATGATGTAAGGTGGCTCTAACCCCCCAAAGCAAGGTGGTAGGAGTCACAGCCATTATTTAGATTTTGGGGTTTTTTTTTTTTTTGTCTTTTTTGCCAAAATAGTTGGTACAGATCTCCTTTTTACATGCTAACTTTGAAGTTTTTAAATTAACCAATAAAATGTATTTAAGTCAAATTATCTCATGTTCTGATATTATTTCGAACCTTTTTTGCACAACTGTTTATTTGCTCTACAAATCCGACTGTGCACTTAAAACCAGTAGCATTTCAGCTTCAGAATTGCCGCTCAAGGTGGCAACATGTTTGAAAAGCTCTATTAGATTTACTCTTTTTTTTTGTACACTTTTGTTTGCACTGCTTATTTGATTGTCCAAATAAGTAATGGTTGCTTACACATCCTTTTTGATATTGGATGTGAGCAGCTGGAAGGACTTTTGTTTTTATTGTTTTCAGTTTTTCTGATGCGTTTTATTTATTTATTTATTTATTGTTTGTTGTTAATAAATTATGATCCCCAAATTCTGCCAAAAGAGGCTTCATGGATGCAGAGCAGAAGAAAAGGAGGAAGTTAAATCATCTCTTCCATCAATCATAATGATGGAAGAGATTACGTCCCTGCTTTCTACTCATCATCAAATTAAATAAGTCATGAATGTATATTTCTCTGCAGCAATGCGTCATATGTATCCTGGAAGTACCATCTTAATTTAAAAACGGGAAATTAGAGAAAAAAAATAAAGATAATATTAAAACTGCAATATCCATGATCTTAAACAAACTTAAATTTGGGTCTAGAGATTGTAAATCACTAAAATCGTTTAATATTTCTGAATTGCCGTTATTTACAAAATTTTAGTAATTAGTAATGACTGGTTTAAGGGTTGTATCTTAACTATTATGAAACATGAAAATGACATTTCCTCTCCGCCCTCGAGTCATGAACTGCAGCCGTCTTATGCGCTGGTGACATAAAAGGAGCGGACCCACACAAACCATGAGAAAGTCCCTTCCAGAGCCTTGATTGGTTAACGAGCAATGACGTCGAGCGTTAGCTACAACTCTCAGGAAGCGGGTCCGCGCAACGTCGACTTCGGTCAACTTTATCACGTTGGTTTTTTGTCGAACAAAGTAAGTTAAACCAAAAAATACAAAATAAAAAACCACGACACCGTGTGCTTTATGCCAGGTGTTTATTAAAACACAACAGTATCCATACCTTTCGCCGGGAAGAGCTAAGTGAATCTTCTCTAGGAAAACTTGAGGATGAACTTTGCGAAGAAAAAAAAAGCAAAAACTGGCCGTTGCTCGTGCTCTGCTAGCAAACGGTGTTTAACTTTGCCTAAACATGACTAAACCTATTAAGCGTCGAAAGCTTCAATCTTTCCGTAATATGACACGAAAATATTTATTGACTGTTCCATATTAATTATTAGCTGTAACGAAGCTGTTGCAAGGAACGGCTACAAGTGAGCTGTAGTTTTATTGAGCGTCATATGTTTACGGATCGGTAACCAAACGACGTTATTTGACATCAACCGCCATAACACGGGAAGCATCTTTATAAATAGAAATCTGACGCGTAATCTTTTGTTTATGGTGAGTCTAAAAGGGTCTTTTTGAACACAGCACTAAATAATTGTGATAGGAAGCAATAGAGATGTGTTTTATTTCTATTCCCACAGCGGGAAAATTAAGGTGTACCACCATCAAGTGGAAGCCTGCATATGGCATGCAATAAATCTGAAAACGAAGCAAAAATAAATAGGGGGGGATTCACAGTATAAAATAATGCTTTTTGGTTATTAAAATGGTACTCAGTTTAAAAGAAATATCCAAGTCAGTAGGTTAAATTAACAGGACATGCAATTCTATTTGCATTGATCTAACTACCAATTTAAGATATGCAATATTCTACAAAAATCTCAAAGTCAAAGAAAATAATATAGTAAGTAAATCGCACTAACACTTTGTTGTTTTTTAAAATGGACCGTCGAATTTCAAGTTAAAAATTCTAGTTATTCATAGTGCCATAAATGTAAAGTGTATCATATTTTATGATGTAACTAGCCTAAGCTTCTGTTTTATTTTATGTGGGAATTAACACAAAGTAATTTAAATAAAAAATGAATGTGGACTGATTGGTGGTCGAGGGTGTTTTAATTTATTAAATGCTGAAGTGTATCATGAACCTTCAGTTATAAGTCTAATAAGGTATTTACAGTTTATTGTATTATCTATTAATACAGAAGTTTAATTTCATAATCTCTTTCAATAGCCACAACATCACAAATATTCTGCACTTAAGATTTATGTATTACAGTTCTTAAATAACAATTTTAGTTCAAATTAAATTTTTTCCTGTCAGATTTGCATATATTTAATATATTTAAGGTGCTTCAGGAAATTCTCAATATGTCTGTCGGTCAAAATTATTTCTGACATCTGCAAATGACAGAAATTTTGATGTGATTTAAAATTCTTAGATTATTTTGTTATCGTCACATAAATATATTGACCCGTGGTGTACACCACAGGTATTCTCCATTTATGCATTTATTAACGGAAGTTAATCGCCTGTTGTAATCATAATTTTTACATGCTCAGTCTTCACAGATCCAAAGTCACACACATGGCAGGCGATAAAGAGATATGGCAAAAGATTGGAGAGGGCTTTGTTCAGGAATATTACAACCAGTTTGACAATACCAACAGGATGGCACTTGCTAATCTCTATGTAAGTTCCGCATTACGGCATCATTCTCATTGGCTACGTCTACACATTACCCCATTTTGCTTTAATCCCACTCAGCATAAATAACAATCCTCCGTTTTCTTCCCCTCAGTCACCCAGCGCCTGCCTGACATGGGAGGGCTCACCGTTCCAGGGAAGAGAAGCAATAGCTAACAAGCTTGTAGTAAGCACGTTGTGATAACAGTGTTGATATGAATCAGAAAAATGTTTGCATCCAGTTTCAATTATTGAATGCACCTACTAAGAACCAGCAACTCTCCCTGTTTACTAACAAATGATTTCTGTTTTTGAGTCTCTATTGCTAATTTATTTAACAATTTTACGTTTTATTCTCAGAACTTGCCCTTCAAGCAGATCAAGCACGTCATTACAGAGCAAGACTCCCAGCCAACTATCGACAGTTGTATCCTCATCATGGTCTTTGGACAGTTAAAGGTACACCAGTCAATAATAGCTTATCGTTTTTAGGTGGTACGACCGTCTCTTAAAGTTTTGCCTATAAACAGACTCTGACATGTTATGTACACATCCTCCACGTCGCAGCTTACTAACTCTTTTGGATTCAAGAAATACTTAAAATTTAAAGTATGGTTAAATCTCAGGCGTCTTGGTGCCATTTTGTTCCTGTTTTACTTTTGAAAAAATTACATTTGTAAACTGGGCAAGATTTTTACTGACCGTAGCTTTATACCTTGATTATAAGTGGCGCTTTCTAAATAGACATTGTTGGAACGTTCTTTTCATATATATATATAGATCTATATATATAGATATATCTATATAGATCTAGATATATAGATGTATCTATATATCTAGATCTATATAGATATATCTATATATATATAAGGTGATGTGGTTGTTACTAGAAATGTAACCTAACTTTAAAACCATTTTTTTGCAACTGTTCTTGTTGGAGATTACTTACAGCGGTATTTAAATGAAAATATATATATATATATTTTTTTTTTTTTTGCAACAGGCAGATGATGATCCACCAATGGCCTTTCATCAGGTATTCATGCTGAAATCCCAAAATGGCGGATGGGTTTGCACAAATGATGTGTTTCGTCTGGGAGTGCACAACATACCAGTGTAGTAATCTGGATTTTTCATACACATGTTCCAACCTGTTGTGAAGTGACTTTGTTGTTGTTCTGCGATATGACAGGACTGTATGTAAAGTTCAATCAATTAAACATAAGTGCTGTACTTGCCATGTTGTTGCTATGCAAAATGACATTCCTTTCAAATTAAAGAATTTTGTATTCTAAACTAAAATGTTTATTTTTTATTATTATTTCGTTGTTTTAAATATATTTTCTGCTGTATAGTTTTGTTATATTTTTTATTGTAAAACAGAGTATACAAGTTTTATAATATGTTCCATTATGGACGCGGTTTCGTTACGTCACATGTCAAGGATCTTGCCGCTAGAGGCGCTGTGGTGCTCCGTGTGGCTCATTAAAGGGGTTATGGCTCCGAGCTCCAGATAGCAACATAACACAGTTTATTCGTCGAAAATGACGCCGACGGTCAAGAAGTCCTCCCAGGAAACTGGACACATAAATGTAAGTCGACAACCTGACCGTAACTAAGACATGTGAGCAGTTTGTAACAGAAGAAGACGTTTGTGTAATCATGTGTTTTGGACATTACTTCTTCCTGGAGGTAATGTCAGCATTACCTCCAGTTATGCTGACATAACTGGAGGAAGAATTATCGTTGAAACTCGTTGAAGATCTTGGATTTTTTTTTTTTTTTGGCATGTAGGAGCGTAAACAAAAAAAACCAAAAAAGGATTTTTGTCAGCTCGTGGTCGCCATCGCTTGTTGACAGTTTTTGGGTGTTCAAAAATTACAACAAAAATGTAATTGAATCTAAATTAAATATACCATCCAGTCAGAATAAAATTGATTAAGTTAGTATTTTATAAACGTTTTTAGGACGACTTCAATGTCGTCTTTTGTTTTGAGTCAGTGCGCAGGCGCAAAAGAGGTAGCTTTTGTAATTTAAAGGGACACATAAAGTTAGTGTACAAGCAGGAAAAACAAAAAAGTCATCATTTGTACTTTGCAGAACGGGTTCGAGGAAAAATATGAGGGTCATCAAAGCGGTACGGAAGCCGAGGACGAACCTCTTCTCCGGGAGAACCCCAGACGGTTTGTCATCTTTCCCATCCAGCATCCGGATATCTGGAAGATGTACAAGCAAGCTCAGGCGTCTTTCTGGACGGTGGAGGAGGTAATTACTAATAAAATATCTTAACTCATTAAAATGTATATTTTTATATAATAACTTAATGACTGAAAGAATATACTCTTTGGCACCTAACAGCAGCTCTGAACTATTTGTCCTTAAACAAACACTGACTAAAGTATTTATACCACTTGACCTTTTCTACTTTGTGATATGTTACAACCACAATCTTATTGAGTCGACTAAACAAAGTAGTGTATAATGAACTAAAACTATTCTTCTTTGCAAATTGCTCAAAGTTCCTCAGGTTAGTTAGGTGCAGAGCATCTGTGATGATCAGTTTTTGAGTTGAATCACAGATTCTTAGTTGGATTTTTACCAGGACTTTGACTGGGTCATTCTGACACATCAATATGCTTTCATCACATCGTTGCATTGTAACTCTGGCTATAATGGAGTGATGAGGTCTACTTTGTCTTGCTAGAAGGTTGACCTCTGCTCCATGTTGAGGCATTTTGCAGTCACTAACAGGTTTTCTTCCTGGAATCCTCTGTAGTTATCTCCATCCATCTTCCTATAAACTTGTACCAGATTATCTGTACCTGCTGAGAAAAATAATCCCTTAGGCATGGTGCTACAAATATGCTGAGGTGACCTGTGAGTTCTCCTACTTTTGGAAGAAACAACACATTTCATTGGTTTACCTGAAGTCTTTACCAAATCTGACTCTGAACTAGATTTTGATGTTTTTCAGGTTGATCTCTCCAAAGACTTGGCGCACTGGGACTGCTTGAAGCCTGAAGAAAAACATTTTATCTCGCATGTTTTAGCTTTTTTTGCCGCCAGTGATGGGATTGTCAACGAGAACTTGGTGAGAAGGGGTGTTTCTTAGCTGCAAAAAATGCTATGTATTTTATAGACGTAACCTACCATGTATTTAACCTACTGGATTTACTGTGTAAGCAAGCCAACGGTGGCAGTTTTCAAAGCCATTTTCTATTGTATATAGTAACTGATTGTTTTGTGGTTTAACGTTTTTTTTTTTTTGGTCTCAACAGGTGCAGAGGTTCAGCCAGGAAGTGCAGCTGCCTGAAGCGCGCTCCTTCTACAGCTTCCAGATCCTCATAGAGACTGTTCACTCAGAGATGTACAGCATGCTCATCAACACTTACATCAGGGATCTGAAAGAGAGGTCAGCAACCTATCTGTGATTCTGCCTCACGTTCTGTTGCCTGGAAATTTTGGGTGTTTTTCTATTTTTGACTTTAGATTCTTTTGAATTACTCCTAACTAATTTTTTTTGAACAAGCACCTGTCAATCAGATATGTAATCTTCACTCTCTTGGGTACATTAAAGCAGTAGCTTTAATGTACCCAAAGGGCCTAAGCTTAACTTATTTTTATTAAAGAGAGAAAACAATAAGAAACGACAACAAATCTTCCTCCTGTTGCTATGATTTCATTCTGCATATATATATCTTTAGCAGCTAGATTGTATTTAATTGTTGCAAGTTTATTTTTTACAGATTCAATTTTTTCACTCGACTTGTACAAAAAATAGAATACAGTAAGTGTAGAAAAAGTCACTGTCACTGTTTAATTTGATGCTTTTTGTGTTTTAGGGACCGTTTGTTTAACGCTGTTCAGACCATGCCATGCGTGCAAAGAAAAGCGGATTGGGCCCTCCAATGGATAAATGACAACAAATCCACCTTTGGTAAACCAATGCACTTCCAGTAAAAAATTACTATTGACTAAACTCTATATGAAACATAAAACCCAGGCTAGAGAAACGTCTTGTTTATGGCAATTCAATAGGAGTGTTCTTTTCTGGGTCCACAGGGGAGCGTCTTGTGGCTTTTGCAGCAGTGGAGGGGATTTTCTTCTCAGGCTCATTCGCTGCTATTTACTGGCTGAAGAAAAGGGGCCTCATGCCAGGCCTAACCTACTCCAATGAACTCATCAGCAGGGATGAGGTGAGGTGGTCACAAATTTATGTTGGGCAAACGTTTAAAATATTTGTGATTTCACCTGGAAAATTGTTGCAGTGTAGCACAGCAAACAATATAATTGTTCGTTTCAAACCAGATGCAGATTTCTGGTAGGTACTGCATCTTCTCAATGTTCTAAAAACATAAAATAAGACACATTTTGGATGAAAGTCCTGGAACCTACACATTTGAAAGATTTAATTAGTATGCCTTTTCTCCAACTTTTTGTTTTAATAGATTTGTTTTTATGTCTTTTATGTCTCCTTTTCCCAGGGTCTGCATTGTAACTTTGCCTGCCTGCTGTACAGCTACCTGCTGAAAAAACCTTCAGAGGACAGAGTCAAAGATATTATCAGCAAAGCTGTGAGCATTGAGCAGGTGAGTAATATAATGTTGTTATGCAGGATTTCTGTGTCTTTATCTTGTCTTCTTGCGGTATTTTCATAAATGTTTTTGTTTTATTGTATAGGAGTTTTTGACAGAGGCCTTACCAGTCGATCTGATTGGAATAAATTGCTGCCTCATGAAGCAGTATATCGAGTTTGTAGCCGACCGGCTGCTCATTGATCTTGGATTGACCAAGGTAATTCTTCCAAGTAATAATAAAACACATTTAAGTCAGTCTAAACAATGTCACCTTGATCTGTAATAAGTCTGATAAAAGTCAGAGTCCTTTTGCTGAAATAAAAATCTAAGAAAAAAAAAAATCATTGATGAAACATTTGCATTTAAATAATATCAATATGAAAAGGCAACAGAAACAAAAAATGAAATAAATTTTGACTTGAGCTTTTTTGTTAAAGATGGCAAACATCTCATTCATATTTAACTGTTGAGAAATGTTCTTGTTCATGGTCCCCCACCAATAATGAGACAAGATTTACGGCCTGGGGTATTTTATTTTTTTATGAAAAATGTGTAATCGGTGGAAAAATGAGTTTCTTGTCATCTTCTCTTTTTTTCTCTAAAAGGTTTACAACGTGGAAAATCCTTTTGACTTCATGGAGTCCATTTCTCTTGAGGGAAAAACAAACTTCTTTGAGAAAAGAGTAGCAGAGTACCAGAGATTCGGAGTGATGTCGAGCATGACGGACTGTGAATTCACTCTGGATGCAGACTTCTGAAAGCAACAGTGTACTGTCATTACCATCCTGATTTACACAAAGCAGCCACAACCTGAAGTACATTTTAAGTTTTCTTTATCCAAACAAAAAAAAAACAACTTCTTAATAGATGTTAAATTGGAAAAAATACAACCTCAGATAAACAACATATGACATAATAATATGCAATATGACATATTGGTTGTGTATTAAAAGTGAAGCCTTTTCTTGTTGTTTATCTGGGATCTGATGTATAATTTTTTTAACACTTACGAAGGCGAAGATGGTTTACATTTTATGGTGAGATGTATAACCTTAGAAATTAAAGAAGCCGTACTTTTTTTTTGTGACTATTTGTTATATTTGATCTATTTATATATTTTTTGGAAGTGCAAATTAGGTAAAATTTTGTCATGTTTCCTTTAATTACATTAAATCAGTTTTCATTATGTCGGAAAGTTACTCTTTGCTATTACTCATTCATGCAATGAACAACTTGTAAAGGCAGTATGGAAAACAAACCAAATCAAGAAAGCGTTTTTGGTGGTTTTCATTTGGTTTGCTCACCTTAAAAGTGTACTTGGCGTTTCTACGGTCATAAATTCAAAGATATCCCACCTGATTTCACATCCAACTGTGGCTTTTAAACAAGACTGCGCCTCTTGCGGTGTGGTGTTCTGGGTCACGGCTTGGTTGGTTTTGTTTTAGACTTTGGTATTCGGTGAAATATAGTTTGCAAATAAAAATCACGTCTTCTTGGTGGAAAAACGCTGCTTGTGTGCTTATTGCTGGAGCCTACGCCAACATTTAGGAAAATACTGGCGATGAATATTTCTGTTGTACATGAGTCAAGACAGCATGTCAGGCTTATGTCCAGAATTTTCTGTAAAATCAGAACAAATTATTTATGCAAGTTCTGCTTTCTTTAATAAATTGATTAGAGTAATTTGGCCAAATTATAACTAGTTATAAAGAGTTTGTGAATGGCTGCCTCTTGTGACGTCATCAACACAAATACAAATTAAGCTTGATTTTGCTTTTTATTTTACATCAGTGAAATATAAAATATAAATCAGTGCTGTTCTAGTCAACCGTGTTTGCATTATTAGTGGGTGTTTGTTAATGGAGTGGACAGTGTCTTTAAGTGCCGTGCATGGAGTTTTGATTTCTCGCAGCCAGATTAGATTAGCCACTCCTCCGACACACGGATGCGGAGCAAAAATGAAAGCTAACAGCGAGTGAGGTTTGTTCGCATTTTTTTTTTCTCCCCTGTCAAACATGGCAGGTGACTTGTGGAGTTTCGCGCTGGAAAAGGCCGAGCTGCTCTCCAGCCGTTTGCGGGAGCTGGTGTCTTCGGGACAAGGCTTGGTTCGGGCCCAGTTCGGAGTGGATCTGGGTCTGAAGCCCGAGCTGTACCCGAGCTGGCTCGTCCTGTCAGCGGCAGCGGTCGGCCTGCTGCTGCCGCTGCTGCTCGGCGCGTCCTGGGCCGCGTTGTGCGGCGCCGGCGGAGGGCGACCGGTCGGCAAAAAGCGGGCTCCCCAGGTCAACCGAGGCGGCGAGGAGACGCAGAAGGCCGGCTTTAACGGTAAAAGCGTCAAACCGGAGGAGCCGAAAAGGAGAAACAGAAAGAAAACCGGCGACAAGGTGAGGAAGTAGGGACGTCTCATCTCAGTGGCTGAATGAAACAAGCGATTTCTCTCAACGCGTTTGACTAAAGACACTCTCTAGTGGAGAAAAATAAGTAAATAAAGGTAAATATGGCTACAACAGCTACCATTTCACGCTAGTTTACCTCAGCTGCCTTCCATATAATAAACTAGGCAGGAGCTTGACGCTCACTTTGTGTCCATAATGAATTATAAACTCCAAAAAAAAAAACAAAACAAAAAAAAAAACCATTTCACCTACCACCACTCGGTTAATAAGTAATGTGTACAATTTCTGTAGAAACAAAAATGACATGCTAACTAGCTACGTGTTGCTAACTGACACGTCATTGATTAGGTTATAGCGCCCAGTAGTGATAGCCTCCATTAATAAAACATCCTGCCTACTTCCTATAGCAACATATTCCTCTGTAATAGAAACGAGATTATGATGAGTTGTGCCTTTCTATTTTTATGAATTGAGACAAATATTTACACACATAAGACTCTTGGAAAAAGTCAATTCCTCAATAAAGAGTTGAGGAATCTTTCATTGTTGTTGTTTTTTTTTTAAAGTCTATGCAATTAAGTGAAATCGTCCTGAAATACAACATTTGCACAGACAAATGAAAACCTGTCATCACTTGCAGTGAATCCTTATTTGTCTATCATGCCAACGCCAGGATATTGATCACCATCTGTAACAGGTGTGTATGGAAGACAGTCAAAGTCGATCCAAATCGACAAAATATGTCCTGGGCATGCAGGATTTTAATGAAAATTACCTTATAAAGCACAGTTGACCAAAAAACTGTATCCCGCAGATATTGATGATGACCCTGACTGACCTTCAGTCATGCAGCCCCATAAGGAAGAGTGAGGCACTGCGTACTTCATCTGTTGGATGGAGCCAGATATGCCAGCCTTGTTTCTCCATGTGCATCACAATACTATGGCTGGATTAATACTGTTCCTTCTTTGGATAACTTTGAATAGCTGATGTTCATTGTAGACTGGGAATAATGGACAAGATCTGCAATTTTGGATATAATCTGACTCAACCATTACATTTGGACCGTGTTAAACTCTCTTAAATCTGTATTTTTAGCTGTTTCTGCTGTTGCTTTATCACAAAGTGTTAGCTTGTCATCAGTGCAACTGAGGAAGTGATCATCGGTGTTATTTACTTCACTTTGTCAGCTTTAACAGTGTTATAAATAACAGCTTGATTAGCAAATGTATTTACAATGCAAACTAACAATAGCTTGTGTTTTGTTTCATGTCTTTGTGTTACAGAAGACTCAGTCCAATGGTCAGCCGCCGGTCGTTGCTCAAGGGGAAGTTAAAGAGATTGTGGCAGCTTCAAAACCAGCTACGCAGTTAAAAGCTGTTAAGGTAAGACCAAAATAAAGGGGAATCAATACTGTTATTGTTGAACAAGCAAGCTGCAAGTTTTATTTGATGGTTTGTCTTGTAATGGTCTATTTATTGCTTCTGAAGACAATAATCAAGATTTTTTGTTGTTGATTTTCAAAATCGCAGCAGGTGCATGAGGCGTCGCCCCCAGTGCAGGTGAAAAAAACCAAGAAGAAACCTAAGACAGATGTGAAACCAGTCCAGGTGTTGCCCACGAGTGAAGTGAAAGAACCCGATGATGGTGCGTCTCCACTGGAGGGGTTGTCACTTTCAAGCCGTTTATACTGTTAGCCTAGGCTAGCCCCTTGTGATATATCCCACCTACACTTCAACTGCAAAGCATATTATTGAGATTTTAAATGATAGACTAACATTATAAGCTGTTCAAAGGTTTTTACAAAAAAAAAAAAGTACCTTGGAGGTTTGCTTGGGAACATTAGTGAAAAAAACAGAAAAAATACGAGTTAGGAATGTTAGGCTATGAAACAAAATTCCAACTTTTAAATATCCAATGTAGCACATAAACTGACAGACTAGGCAAGAATAACATTATAACATTATTCAGAGGCTCCCCTACTAACAGGACAAATATTCTAAACATACAATAAAAAAAAAGGAAAAATTTAAATCAAAGTCTGACCCGAAATTAATTTGTGGATTAAAGTTCACAGAGGCTCTCCAATACCTCTACAATCACAGAGGCTCTCCAATACCTCTACAATGCACTTGTGCAAATTAGTAAAAGTCTTGAAAAACGTTTATTCTTATAGAAGGTTGTAGTTGCTTAATCATTCCTTGTTGCTTCGTCTGTATTTCTCCAAGGTGCATGGGAGACTAAAGTCAGCAATCGAGAGAAGCGGCAACAGCGAAAGAAGGACAAAGGTTCAGAAGATTCTGGGAGCCCGGGAGGCAACAAGGCTTCCAAGGCCCACGTCGAAACACCTGCAGCCCCAGCAACGAACAAAAAGAAACGAGGAAACAACGGTAATCATCCCCTGAAGACCAAATTTCCTGTTCTCATTTGTTTTAATAAGAGAATTTGACGCCACACCCAAGTTTAAAGTGGTTGTTTAAACTTGCTAACATAAGCTGTATACTGTATATTGAGTGTGATGTCGCAAAGATGATATTGACACATTATTTGCTCGATGTGTGAAACAGAGAACCAGCATTCGAGACCAAACTCAAAGGGAGACGGAGCCAGTGGGAAAGGCAAAGCATTGAACTGTATGTCTGTTCTGTACTTTCTTTACATAAGCTTTGACCTGTTGCATCTTAATGTCGTGGGAGATAAACTTAAGAGGAAACAAATAAACTTGAAATTCTTTTGTTTCGTTTTGAGTTTTACAACAATTAAAATTGCACAAAACACCAGTATAACTGCATATTAATCTAACATAAAGATGCTTTGAATGCAACCCAGGATGTCTAGCAGCAGTATCGCAAGTCATGCATTTCCCTTTTTTGCCACTTCTTTTTGTAGCTTCCTCTGCATGGAGAGCAGAGCCTACAGTCAACGGTGAAGGCTGGCCTGATGTTCCGTTGAAGGCCACTGGTCAAGCTGGTTCTGTGGAAGGAAAGAAGTGGAGCTCCATACCTCCAGTGGTACCTCAAGGTACCACTGTTATTCCCGTCGACTGTCACTTGTATCAAAGAGTTTATGAGACGGATCAGCAAAGTGGTGCATAATTCAGTTCAATTCAAAAGTACTTTATTAATAAAAATGCAGAATAAGCAGGGATAGGAAAAGTCACACATGATTCCAATATTTTTTACAAATTGAAAAGTGTGGCATGTTTTTTTTTCTTAAAGCTGCTTAGACACTGCTCATTCTTATGGCTCAGTATCAGTCAGATTAAATGATTGAGTTCATCTGTGAACAAGCGTGTTCAAGTTTGGTACAACTGTCAGTAAGATTTAGGTCTGGATTTTGACTGGACTGAGCAGGTTTTGATCGGAAGTTGCTCAGGTTGCCATGTTTAGAGTCGACTCTAAACCCTCAGTAACCCTCAGTAAACGGCTTCAGTCCGAAGTCTTGAAGCCTTTTAAAGTTTTTTCTTGCTGGACTTGCCTGTAGAAGTAAAGCATATCCTCAGCATGATGCTGCCGGCTCCGTTTTACACGGTGGGTGGTGGACGGTGTGTTCAACTTGATGATAGTTTTTCCACTGCAGCATATAAGCAAAAAAATATTCAGTTTGTGTCTTTCGTTGCCAAAGCACAAACGATAAACAGAATTTCTTATACCGCTGAAGGCATTTTATTGCACTGGATTTTATTTAGGAAGGAATGCTGAATAGCCATTCAGATTGTGTCTTTGCGACTTATTAAATCTTTTCTAACTCTAATAAGATGATAATAATTGACAAAGTATTGCATCTGTAGCAACTTTAGAGGGGGTTGCTTTTTTTAATAATTAACTAAAAGTACAAGTGATAACTTATCAGACTGTTGTTCTGTTATTGACATAAATAAATGATAGTAGCATTCCAACCATGTCTTTGTCTCCATGTGTTGTCAGCAGCCGCTTGGAGCAGCATGGACGGGAAGATGAAGGCAATGCCCTTTTCTGTGCTGCAGCTGAACTCTGCAGGTTGGTGCTTACTGATCACATTTACTTCCTGCTTGTTCAGTCCAGGAAATTTTAAAAAAGAGTTTCATAATGAGCCAGAATAGATTTTATAGCCTTAAAAAATGAATAATAATAAACCTCTTTCTCTCTTAGATCCATTATCAAATTCAGCTAAGTTGCAGTGGGCCAACCAAACCATTGTTGACGATCAGTGGTCAGGAGTCAGTGAGTAGCCACTTTATCTTCCTACAGAGCACAGCCATATAAGTGACTGCAGCTTGTTTATAAAGGATCTGTTTGTTCTTCTTTCTGATAACTAACCTGCAGCTCTCTGCTCCATGTTTTCCAGAGGGGACAGCAGCAGATTCCTCCTCTGACTGGAGTGCCCCAGCGGAGCACTGGGGAAACTACGAAGAGCCTTCTGTACCAGCGGTAGCAGCAGCAGCAGCCCTGCAAAAGGATCAGCCCAAGGTTTTATACTTTAGTACACTCCAGTTGTTGTTGTTCGTACTATGTAGGAACGCTCACAAGTCGTAGCTCTGCACACATCTCGGTTTTGGGTTTATGATTAAGTGCTAGTTTGAATAACCAACAGAAAGGAACTGGTACTGAATGCTTTGTTTGTTTCCTGTTCTTTTAAGTACACACTCTTGCATGGACGAACAGAGATTATTAAAGATATTCATGCAAAATGAGGGGCTCTGAGGTTCTCGGCTGCAGTTGAGATGTCTGTAAATTTGCTTCAAAATGAAAAATATTTCAAAACTTTTTTGTTTTGTGTTAAAACTGCGCTCCCCCACTGGCCATGTGTGAAACAGCCCTTTTGATTGAGACTAAAAATAAGATGAATCACTTTGGTTTATGAAAATATTTCAGAATTAAATAAGAGTGTTTTCTTGGTCTGCAAAGGAGAAGTAAATAACTTGATGAAAATAGGGGGAAAAGCTAAAAGCATTCATTTTAGGGCACTAGATTATTGGTTTGCCTTGTATATTTGACAGCTGTGTCTCAGGATATTATTAAAAAGTTAATTTATTTCAGTCATTCAGTTCAACGGATTGTAGACATGGATTTTACATTGTGGTTTATTTCATTGCACTTTTTTTCTATATCAAAACATACCCCTAATATTTATCAATGATTCCATATCAAATCCCTTGTTTTGATATTTTTTATGTAGAATTTAAGATAAAAAAAAAACAACAACTTTATGGCAGGTATCAGAAGATGAGAAGAACACTGACGATCCTTCAGGTGGAGCAGCAAAATCTAAGAAGAAGAGAAAGAAGAAGAAAGCAGAAGAGGAGCCTGCAGCTGATGCTCAAGTAGAAAATGCAACACAAATACTTTTTAAAAATTAAAATTTTTAAATCAGATCAATTTGTAAGAGTACTTGTTTCTTGTAACTTTTCTTGTAATTGTTGGATTATAGACTCCGAGTGCAGCTGCTGTACACAGCGCAGCAACCAAAGTCCCAGAGCATCCTGCGCTGCCGCTAAATTCACAGAATACCAGCATATCATCCTCTCAGAGTGAGTTCAGGCTGCATGAATCACAATGTAGTTACAATTTTCTCTTCTTTCCAATATATGCTAGGATATTTCTTCTAAACTGACCTCTGCTGTTTTGCCTTCTGACAGAGAAGTCTGAGCAAACCGTCGAACCTCAGAAGCCCTCCCAGAAGAAAAAGGTCAGAAGGGAAACTTAAAGGAACAACACGAGTCTCTACAAATGTTATGCAAATGATTAAGAGTGTCTCATGCAATAATTACCAGGTACAGTTTCTGTCTTAGATGTGTAACTTTTTAATAGCGACAAGAGGACAGCGGGCAGCAGCTCCAACCTGCTGCATAGCAGTGAAATGTGGTCCTATGGACTGTTAATTGTAACTAATTTTGCACTATTTGCTAAACTGCAACCTGAGGCAGAGTTTCAGGTGGGATTTCAGTAATGCTACATGTTTAAAAGTTTTGCAAGTATATATCCATCTTTATTTTTATCCACCAGGAGTGTGTGTAATTGTCAACCCAAAAACAAACAACGTGGGTTTTAATTTTTTTTTTTTTATCTTGCAAAGTCTGAGTTAGGCTGGACCCCCTAAATGATGCACTTTGTTTTGGTTGCTCTTTCACTCCCTCTCTGTGACTAAATGATCCTTCTACCTTTGTGCCAAAGGTAGAAGGATCTGTTTAGATTTTGGTTGATCCAACACCGTCTTATTGTAATATTACGTTTCCATTCAGAAGTTTACATACATTCATTATGGACATAAATGACCTATTCTTGCACCTTTAATCATTGATTTGAGCTATTCTTATCTACAAAGTCCAGCCAGTACACAAGGTTTTAGTGTACATGTTTGAATTTAGGAGGATTTTCCCAAAAATTACATAAGCAAACTCAAATATTTATGTTCTCCCCTTTTTAAATGTTAATTTGAATCCACTAGCAAAATCCAAAAAAAAAAACTGCATGTTTTTAGTATCAGTCAACCTGTTTAATAATTCTGACTGGATATGTTTCCACTCCTCCTAAGAGAAATCACAGGTTTCTTTCTATGTTGTTGGTTTCCAGATCAGCAACGTCCATCAATTTGTAATGAGGTTGAAATTGGGGCCAATTTCAGAAGTTTGTTGCAGACAGCTTAATCCATTCATTTTTATTTTTGTCCGTGCGCCGAGATGAGTAGTCTAGCATCCAGCTAGTTTCTCTGCAACTTGCTAAGGGATTTTAACAAATATTAGTGGGGGTAACATATACAAAATATATATGTGAGCCAGTATGTATAATTTGTACCCTATGCTAAATTCAACCACAAGCTTCTAAGTCTTGTTTTTAAATTAAATCAAAGCTGCCTGTTGTATGGACAATGGTGCTGTTTCTATTGCGTCTATAAAATCCCATCATTATCATAACATTTACCCCTATAATGACCGAATGTAGGCGTCTGACTAGAAATGGAGACACATTTTTAGGTAATCTTTGAACTAGAGAATACCTGTGGAAAACTTCTTGATTCTATGTTCCACACCTTTTTGATTTGCTTTGCTAGAAAGGGCAGAACATTTCGTGTCTGATAGAGACTGCTTCACTCTTACTCTAAATCAAGCGTGGTGTTTTTCCTCGCACCGTTTAATTGCAGCTAAATGTTGCAAGTTAAAGCATTCCAACCTGACTATTTTAGACATTAAGGGTAATTAGTAAAAGAAAAAAAGCTCTTGCAATATATGATCTTCTGTAAATGTAGATTTTATGATTCCTTTATGACATTCCTTGACATTCTTCATGTTCAAACCGTCCGTCTTGCGGATTTTCAAATGAATATGGTCTTGATATATCAGGAGTTAAAAACCTCTACAGAAAGTTATGAGTTATTTCCACCTAACAGTTTTTGTTCAATAACTATCTTTGGCTTTAGCCGCACTTACAAAATCTTGAAATTTAGATTGAAATTTGCTGCATGTCGACAAATTAAATTTCCTTGAGATTGCAGTGACTGGTAGAAGCCACCAGGAGGCGCTGTAACTGAGGCTTGAGGTTGATGGAGTCAAGGCGATGAAACCGTAACATCAGTAAATGCTGTCTTTCTAAAAAAAAAAAAAAGATCAAAGTTGTCATTATGATTAAGTCTGTCCTTTTCTAAGTATGCTTTTATAAATGCGTTCTTCTGCTCTCTAAATGACTTTTTACAAGGATTTCTTCCAGTTTTTTTCTAGAAAAAGTCACGCCATATGTATAGAATGTAAGGGCTTTTTTCTAGTTTGTGATTGCACTGTGCAGAAACCTGTATAGTTTCTTTTTATTGCGAATGAATTGTTTTTAAACGTTTTTTTTTTTTTTTTGCCGAATGTGAAACTTTTTTTTTTCTTCCCAAGAATGAAGGTTTTTTTTTTAAATGAACTAAATAAAAAGAAAAACCGAATGAAAAGAAGCTTTGCAAAAAATGTGACATGAAGGAGTTTGAACTCTTCATTCAAATTGTTTGAGCGTATACATTTAAAAGAAATTCATTTCTACTGCCTTAATCTGCCGTATAGAAAGTTTCTTGGAATCCTTTAGCTTCCATCCTTTTGCAAGTTTTGGTGTGAATTTTTATTTTATTTTTTTTATTTTTGCATGACTTTGGTAATAGTATTTGTGGGGGAAAAAAGAGAAAAGAGACCAGTCTTTTTTTTTACTCTAACTATTTTGTTCTAAAGTACCTCTTGTTATAAATAACGTAACAGCTTTATGTTAGAAGAAAACTTGCAAACTTCTTACTTTTTATGGGCATCTGTTTTTTTTTCTCTCTCTCTCTCTTGACTCTTGAATTACTCCTGAAATATTAAAATGTTAATTAACTGGTGTTGATTAATGTTTGTAGGTCTGAAATGATGTTACACTGTGGATTCAGGTGCCCATTTTGTTCCCTTTTTTACCAATGAGTAAAATTATTTCTTGTATTTATACAGTTGTGTCTAAAAAAAAAAAATCTCGGGATGATTTTGTTAAGGACAGCATAATGATCTTTCTATGTTTGTTCTGGAAAGAATTAAATGAAAAATGCTTCATATCATTTTGTGGATTTTATTGTTCCTGGTGTTGACATGTGAAACAGCACCTCCTCATTTCTTGGCACCCCTGCAAAGGCAGGTTCAGGTGGTTTATATTAAAATAGGAGAACAAGCATGCAAAAAGAACATCAATCGCAAGAAATATATTCGCGTCACGCTTACTTGGTGACTAAGGGAGTGTGATTATGTGTATAAACCTATGTATCATCAGCATACAAGTCAAGGTAGGAAGACATTATATAAATATTAGATAAGATTGACACAAGAATGGGTCCTGGTGGCCTACAAGAGAATCTCTCCTACGTTTCCATTCTATCAGTATGTCATGATCAACTGTGTGAAGCTCAATGTGAGTCTTTGATGTGCAAATGAGTCAGAATAAATTCATTTTCCATTGCTGTACCATAATCTCGCTCCAAAAACAATGTGACGAATCCAGCAGGAGGGAAACCTGTTTAGAATTTTTTTCTGAATTTTCATTTCCAATTATGCCACTTCCATAAACATTTATTTCAAGGCTTTTCACAACATAAATATATTATAAAATAATAAAATGAGCTAAAACTGACGACATGTTTTGGTGCAAATCTATGTCAGCAGCCATGCTCTTCCCCTCCCGAGGCCGAACTGCTGCCTCAGTCAATGTGTTGAGGCAGTCGCATGGCATGTTAGTCACACAACCTGACCCCCTTTACTGTCTCTCTCTGTCTGTCTCTCTCTCTCTTAGTTCATTTAGGATTTAGCAGCTTTTAATCTCTTACAATCTCCAACGTCTCTGTGCATTCAGCTGCACCACAGTGGCTCATCACAGCATATTCTAACAGTGAGGGGTCACGCTGCAATGGCTGACTGCTCAAAAACGGACTCCTCCTGTTGCTGATGACGCCTGAAACTCAGAAGTCTCACAGATTAAAAGCAGCAGATGTTATGAACTGAATTTAAAATATCTATATATTACCTAGATTTAAAGTATTAAATAATATCTGTGTTTTTCGCAATTTATGATAGCAGAGAGAAATAATTTCAAGAGTTTGGACTGCAGCGTAGCAATGTAGCGGTTCAAAACATGAAAACAGAAAAACGGACCTGAACTTGGACATGTTTGAATTGTGCTTGAGCATTGCATGAGGAAGCTATGTCATTTCAGAAGAGGAAAATCCCCAGTCTGAGTATGACGCAGTTCACCTAACAGAGCTTAGCCCTGTGTTTACTGGTGGCCCAGCTGTCCGGCTTGGTTTAGGCCATCTGCACAGACTGACGTGAAATGAAGTCCAATCCCTCAGTTCAGATGTTCAGAAAATTTAAGTATCTTTGAGAGACTGTTGCAAAGTAAATGAAGAAGACTGATAACTATGTTCTAGCTTTTTCTTCTGTGGACTGGGAGTTTTATGAAAAAGAATGTGCTTCCATGCAAATTACATGTGCTTTTTTCTTACACTTATATGTTATGGATCATTAAACGCATTTTAAAATCATATAAATATATCCAAGGTAAATTGAAGATGCAACTTTCAAGTTATAATTTTATTAATTAAGGGAAAATTTTGATCCAAACCAACATGGTTCAATGGAAAAAGGTAACTGTTGGTTAAATCATGAATTGGAGGTTGCTAAAAACACTATCGCAATGTCTGTGGCGTTCCCGCGACTTTTTTTTATTTTTATGAAAGATAATAGACCTTTTTCATGGCAACCGGAAGCTGTATCTGATAGGGCTGTGGCACTTCCTGTTTTGGTGACTGTAATTCAAGTACTCTGAAAATGGCTCTCCTCCTCCGGTCCTTTTCATCGTCCTTACTTAATTTGCCAGCCCTTTCTTTCGCTGATGCGGAGGAAATCGCAGCGGCTAATTCATCCACCAACAAACGTGTGAAAGGATACAAGTTCTTCCACGAAAAATATATCCACCGCTATCAAGGTAAGAAAAGACGTAGCTTAGTGAGCTAACCAGTAGCTACAATATATGAACTACACAAACATCGTAATGAAGCTTAACTCAGTTTGCTAAATTACGTGGAATATTAGAGACAAACATAATTTTAACTTTTCAATTATATTCTGATTAAATTCTTAAATGTATTTGCCAGTTCAGTTTGTGAAAAACAGCATGCTAGGACTTAGTCGTGAGATACTAGATGACGCTTGATGTTTGAACTGCTTTACGCTGCCTGCCTGCAGTGTCCAATATTGTGGAGAGGACAGGTAGTTGTCGAGCTAGATGCTTCACATCCATGAAGAAAAATGAGGAACCTCATAAGCTGCAGGTTTGAAACAGTCAGAAAGCCGGTTGGCTCTTGTCGGTAGTTCGAGTTCCTGATCATATGTGACAGATGAAGAACTTCCACGTACGACTTCTGGACAACTCAGAGCTTTTTCTAACATCTTCCTGTTCAGAGGGGATATTTGTTTTCTGTTTTTGTTGCGGTTGCAACATAGTCTGTGTTTTTTCTGCTGTTGTTGAAGCTTACTTCAAACTAGAGTCTATTGTTTAAAGCTAAACATGCTATATTTATATATGTGTTACTAAAACAGTTGTCTATTTTAGACATCACTGGGTGTTGGAAAAGAAAAAGGCTGAATTACTGGATTATTCCTGTAGCTGTGCAGCTGGTAAAGGTTTTTGCAATCATGTAGTTGCACTTCTTTACCAGACTGCACACTACACCCAACTCCAGCTGCCAACTGTTCCTCCTGCACAAGTGATTTACAAAGATGGCACAGACCAATAACACAGGTAAAAAAAAGAGTGGAACACATTGTCCTATGGGATGTGATATATAAATATACTAGATATGCTAAATTATATACATTGCATATCATACACATATGATCTTAAAATAACAGTACTATAGTTATGTACACAATTTATTCCTCCTTTGATTGTGTCGCACTGCCATTTACGTTCCTTTCCCACTTGTGTTTTATAATCGCCATATAAAATTTGTTGTAATCTCAATATTACTTGTGTCAAATATAATTTCTCTCACAGTTTGTTTGGAATATTTATTTTTTGTAGGTAATGAAAAAAAAACAGGCTCAACTGCTATCAATTAATTTATTTGCAAGTTGGGTAAAAAAAAATAAAAAACTGTGCCAAATCAGTCCCATTATGTCCTAACAAACTGCTCACTCATCTATTTATTTGTTCTTTAGTTTGACATCTTTCTGTGTATTTCTTGTAAGGGGAAACATCCTGAACCTGCCAGCAACATGGTGGTGCAGAAGCCCAAAACTATGGGGAAAAGATATCTGCACTCCACACTTTACAGAGCTTACACAGGTATAACGTTTGGTTTATGTTTTTACACGTATGTTTCCTTTGTCAAAATGTATTATGATTATGTCACTGATGTTTGTAGGACAACTCCAGATCCCGACATTCTGGCATCAGGAGAAAAACTACACAGCTGAGTCCCAACCACTTATTGCTCTTGTCCTAGACGGTCTTTCACATTTGGAGCTGGTTCCATCTAAATTTGGGCCTGTGCCACCGGGCTCACAATGTCTCATCAGTGCCCACCTGAAAAGTCCTCTGGTAGCATCATTCTGCACCACATGGCTCCAGACTTCCCTTCTCTTCCTCTGATGCTGCATAGTCTTCCAAATATGTGCTTTGTGCCCACACTTGGTCAACTTCTGCATCTTCATTCTCTGCAAGTGTCACTGGAAATGTCTTATGAAATAGAAGCCAGAACAAGAGAGCAGTCCAGATGTCCCTGCATGGGTACATCTTCGACAACCAAGACTTACTGCTAGCCGTTTGCGTGATGCTTGCAGAGGAAGTGCAGAGGAGGAGTCTGCTGCCACAGCACTGGCATCTCGGATGATTAGGGGCTCCACTAAACAAACTGCCGCCATGAAGCGTGGTCTGCAGGTGGAGTCTGAGGTTCTGGCAAACTATGCTGAGATGTTGAGGGTCAACGTGCTTCCTGTGGGATTCATTGTTTGCCCTGACGCATCATATCTTGGTGCAACTCCAGATGGTAAGGTGTACAACCCGTCAGAATCACCCCCGTTTGGACTGGTTGAGGTAAAAGGCAGCATGAAGAATGATGCATCTCAGGTTGCTCACCTCAAGGTCCAGGATGACCACTTAGTTTTGAGGCGTTCACACCCCTACTCCTGGCAGGTACAGGGTCAGCTGGCAATCAGCAGATTGGAATGGTGCGACTTTGTTACAGACACGCTAACAACAATAATGACTGTGCGGGTGTGGCGTGATGAGGCTTTCATGATCAAATGAAATCTAAACTGGACTTATTTTACTTCAACACCTTCATTGATGTGTTCATGTCAATGCAGTAAGAATTATAAAATGTGTAACTAACCCTTTTGTTCCTTTGCATTTCAAATATCCAATCTCAAGCTGTGTGAATCACTGAAAATAATTGTTACTCATGAAACATACAGAGATGTGCAAATGTCTTTAAAAGGCAGTTGAATAATTTACAAAAATTTGTTTTTCTTAACTGCAGTTGACTTGAAACTGTTTTTAAATTTTTCTCCTTCAGGTTGTCTTAAGTATTTTTTTTTAAATCAATGTATGGTGTACAATAATAAAATATGAAATAGTTATGGATATTTTTTTGTTTTTACTAGATATTGTAAATTGTACTTGATTTGTTTTCCTTGCAATTCAACTTAATACAAAAGAAAGTCAAGTGTGCTGCCAAAGTGTTTTAATTGAATTTTTTGCAAAAGTTTAAACATTTAACTTTTTACATAGCATTACAACAATTAACATACAGAAATAATTAGTCTGCAACACAAAATGGGCCTTGATAATTTACCAAAACACAACAGTGTGCCAGATTTGATTGACAGTTCCTATTAAAGTGACAGGCACCGGGGAATCCCAGATGTGGCAGCACTTTACTCTAGCGATTGCTCGCTCTACAATGATCTGCAGCCGAGCGATGGTCTGGTCTCCTCTGTCTCTTCCTTGCTGAACTGACCAGGATGCCTAAATGGTGGAATGATGAGTTTGGCTCCAACTTCATGAAGGAGGTCTTGAATGAGGAAGCCTTTATGTGCCATGACTTCATCTCCCAGCTCAAACAGAGGAAAGATTCCACTGACCTTCGTTATTTCTTTGTCGGAGAAAACCAGAAAATAAAATAGCAAGACATACGGTTAGCAATAAGTTTTAATTATATATTTGAAACATTACTTCTGTGAAGATCAATACATGTTGTGATTCGGAGCATGTATGTATACAGCCATTGACTTGATCTCTCCACAAAATACATAACCACATAATTTCATTATTATGTGATCATAATAATAATATAGCAATAGTTATATTTTACTGAAATTCTCTTACATGGAAAATATATACAATATACTATCTTTTACCTGCGGGTGGATGTGTCGTGTAGTCATGGTCCGCAGTAGCATCTTCAGCCTGGCTAGCTTTCTGTGAGGACAAACTGCCGTTTCTTCGCCCTCTCGAAAGCAGACTCTCTCATTGCCGGTGCAGTGAAGTTATTCCAGGCAAACAGGGAAGGAATAGCTCCACTTTTAAGGCGGCTGGTGGTGGATCCGCTAACAAAATCCTCCGGTGTGAAGTGGCGGCTGCATACGAAAGTGCTCCCCGTCTTTATGCAAAAGTCCGGACCTTCATCTCTTCGGATCGCCTGGATCCACTTACTCCGTTGGTCCGGGTCTGTCGGGAACGCATGATATGATAGATAAGGCTGTTTTCTTGCCCCACATGAACAACCAGGGACTGAACAAAAGCAACTGCGCCAAGACTGAGCCATTTTTCTAGCCTTTTAATGCTAACGCTATAGCCACTGGAAGTTGTCCAACTCCACATCCGCTTTATAAAACACATGCGCACAACTGCCCGGGCGACGCGCATGCGCACAACCCCCCGGCCGCCGCGCATGCGCACAATTGCCCGGCCGCCGCGCATGCGCACAACCGCACTTGTCCCGCGCATGCGCACAACCATCTGAACCCCGCGCATGCGCACTTTCGCCCTTGCCCCGCGCATGCGCACCACCGTCTGAACCCCGCGCATGCGCACCACCGCCCGGACTTCGCGCATGCGCACAACCGCCCGAATCCCGCGCATGCGCACAACCGCCCGGACTTCGCGCATGCGCACAACCGCCCGAACCCGCGCATGCGCACAACCGCCCCGGCCCCCTGCGGGTGGATGTGTCGTGTAGTCATGGTCTGCAGTAGCATCTTCAGCCTGACTAGTTTCTAAGAGAGGACAAACTGCCGTTTCTTAGCCCTCTCGAAAGCAGACTCTCTCATTGCCGGTGCAGTGAAGTTATTCCAGGCAAACAGGGAAGGAACAGCTCCACTTTTAAGGCGGCTGGTGGTGGATCCGTTAACAAAATCCTCCGGTGTGAAGTGGCGGCTGCATACGAAAGTGCTCCCCGTCTTTATGCAAAAATCCGGACCTTCATCTCTTCGGATCGCCTGGATCCACTTACTCCGTTGGTCGGGTCTGTCGGGAACGCATGATATGATAGATAAGGCTGTTTTCTTGCCCCACATGAACAACCAGGGACTGAACAAAAACCACTGCGCCGAGACTGAGCCATTTTCCTAGCCTTTTAATGCTAACGCTATAGCCACTGGAAGTTGTCCAACCCAACATCCGATTTCAAACCCGGAAGCGTGAAAAAGGTCTATTTTGACCCTTAAAAAAAATCTTTCCTGGTCACGTGACGGAAGGATAAACCAGATTAAGGGTTCTCTCTGTCTCTCTCTCTCTCTCTTCCTATCGCTCTCTGCCTCTCTCTCTCTCTCTGTCTCCGCTCTCACGACTCCACACTCTGTGACAAAAAAAAACAGTTCAAACGTCCACTGGATGCTGTGCCAGCCGCTTCACCTGTTTCTGACGCCGTAAGCCTAGAGTGTCTTTAATATTTTTCTCGGGGAGCAGCATTCATGAATTAACCGCTAAAAAAATAAAACTAAAACTAAAATAAAAACCCACAGCGTTAGTGAAAGATGATTTCGCCGTGGGACCGGTGGTACTCGACGAGCTGCTGCCTCTGCTGCCATGTACGGACGGGCACCATTATTCTGGGAATATGGTACATGGTAAGGTCCAGTCTTTTCCCTACGAATGTGTAGCAGGGCGGCTCGGTGAAATGTTGTCCAAGTTGGGCAGTAGGTACTAACTAAGCGAACTTGCCGGTGAGTTGTTTTTGTTGTTGTTTTTTTCGTCTACTTTGAAATTTTTCGGATCCCCTCGGTTTAATGAGCTGAAGTGACCGTTAGACGAAGTTAGCATGCGCCTGGCAGGTGTTTCCCTGCACGAGATCGAAATCTGAAATCATACTTTACTGTAATGTTATACACTCATTACAGGTTCTATATATATATATATATATATATATATATATATATATATATATATATATATATATATATATATATATATATATATATATATATATATATATATTTAGTAATTGCAACATTCGCTAGTGTATTTTGTATACAGTCACAAATCTTAGTTTTAAAAATTCTAATATTTACACATTCAAAGAGCCTCAGTGAAAACGTGTTGGTTGTTTACTCTTTGCTCCAAAAAAAGAACTGATTAAAAATCGATTTATTCACTGCATGTTTATGTCTGTATGTGTAAGGTTGTGAAAACAGCCCTTTATACCCTTCAGATTGTCAACACACACAAAAAAAGACACAATTAAAACTGTCAGATGACTCAGAAATAGTCCAGATAGTTTGGGTGTATCTTTTTTATCATTATTATTTATTTCCTTCTTATGGAAAGTTTCCATTTATATCATAGGTCTGTGGTGCATTTCTATCCTAAAGAAAAATATATAACACTTAAGATACTTAACAGCGAGATATTAATATACATGGAACAACCTTACAAAAATTTAATACAGTGTTCAATTATGTTGTATGAACTGATCAGTACATTATTGCAAGGTAACGCAAAAGAAAAATATATCAATGTCCCAGGGTTCTGTAAGTTTATGATAACTTAAAATAGGTACTCCCAAATATTTTTAAAGCTTCTAAACCAAATTAAAAGGGCTCCATCTTGAAAACTATAATACATAGACAGGGGTGGATATAGAAGGATGTGGGTCCCTGGGCTGGAGCCACTTTTGGTGCCCTATTTATTAGAGAAATTATTTGACTAGGATGTAATATGTCTCTTCGCCAGTACCTTCATGTTGTTTAAAAAATGTATTGTACATTTCAAATACTACTATTATTTATATTCAAAACATTCCTATATATAGATAAATAACTTACCTGATTTGGGCCTATGAGTTTTATGTATAATAAGTACAATGCTTGCAAAACATGAATTTCTTTAAGAAAAGTAATGAAAAATTTTTGCCCCCCCCCCAAAAAAAAAAAAAGAATTGTGCCTCTGTACACCCTTTCCAAAGTCAGGCAGTCGAGAAAGTTCACACCTGTACAAAATTAAACTATTCCAGTAATAGATTCTATAAAATACGGGTTGTGTAAACTTCATTGGGTTCATGAAAAATAAAAAAGCATGATTCAAATACCTTTTTTGTGTTCCTTCACCATATTGGATAAAGTCCAACTCCTAAACTATAACACTTAGACAGGTCAAACCTGGATTCTGCACTGATGACAAATTCTGTAAAATACAGATTGTGGTTTGTTAAACCTTTATTCTATTTCTGAAAATTGGCTTTTTGTGAAAAAGGCTTTTTTTTCTTTCCTCTTCAAGACCTTTGGGTTTCAGTGTGAAAACTAGCAAGGTACAAGACAAAATAAGCTCATAAAACTAAACCTTCCCAGGACAATTTCTTGGTATTTTAGGTAACTGGTTAGTTTTCTCAGAAAGCTTCACCTGGTTTGGTTCTTTTTATGAATTACATAACCAGTCTTTAATTTGTCCTATGTTTGTAACAGGTTAAAAATAGCTAGTTGCCTTTGTTTTTACTCATAAGTTAACCTGAAGTTTTAAATATAGTTCAGTAAGCTTTGCAAATCCTTGACCTTGTTCTTTTATTTAGTTTGACCCACTTCTATTAGCAATACTTTAAAATAGAGCCACGGGGTTAGAGATAAGGAATTACATTCTAAGAGTGATTTTTAAAGTACATGAGTTTATTTAGAAGTTTATTAGTGGCCACTGTTGCATCATACTGCACAATACAGTTTAGATAAATAAATGCAGTTACTATGTTCTTCCCATGGTTTCTCTCTGGGTAGCTCACCTGATTCTCATACTGATAAAAACGCATGTAAAGTTATTTTCCACTTTGAAGGTATGAGCATGTCCATGCTTGGTTGTTTGTGTGCGATGTTTTTTTGGACCAACTGCAGACGACCAATTCGTGACAGCTCAATTCTACACTAATCCAAACGGGATGAAAATAGATACGGTTTACTTTTTCAGTAAACCGTACCGTAAAAGAAAGGAATGACATTTAAAAAATAAAACCTAAGATCTGGACTCAATAAAAACAACTAAGGATCACCAAAAATGAAATCTGAAACTAGAATTAGCTTTTATACATCACCTTCCATCATTTTTGGCACCACTGCAATAAGTGTGTTAAGCATGTGTTTACTGTACCAGGTGCTGCCTGAAAACTCACCCGTCGTTTACCATTGTTATTTTTTTTTCTTTCCTCTCTCAGATAATCAACGCGGTGGTCCTACTCATCTTGTTGTCAGCTCTCTATGACCCAGTTCAGTACCGCTATCACCTTACCAGCTCAGAGTTGGGAACCGACATCGATGTCATGGACGATGCAAGTCAGTGCCACGACTTTGTTTTGTGTTTGAGTTGAGCGGTAGTCTGTGATTAGGAGATATTTGCTTTGTGTGTTAATATGGTTCATATGGAAGCCCAGATCGTGTTCTGAAGTTGTTTGTCGTTGTTTTTTTTTTTTTGACTCAAAAGTGGACATGGATGGATCTGCGTTCTTATGTGTCTAGCTGTTCTGCCCAACTGGCAGATTTCCTTTTACACAGTGCTGCCCTCAGCACAGATAAAGCTGTGTTAGCTGTGCAGCATAGAGAACAAATCAGAGTGCATGATGTGTATTTTCAGTTCTCCCCCTGCAGCGAATGTCATCATCACAGTCGCCTCTGGAAGACTTCAGACACTGGCCCGCGCAGCTGATTAAAAATGACTGCTCTAATTCTCAGATTAAAACGGCCATCTTGATTAACTCCCATCCCAACACGTTTGCTCTGCAATGGGCAAAGACCGAGAGACAATGGGATTGTGTGGACAAAAGCGTCTGGCGTCTTATTTTGTTTGTTTTCTTTCACCATATTTCGCCATTTTTACTGATCATACACATAGAAAAGTTTGTCAGACAAAATCTGGGAATTGTTGGTATGTTGTTAATCAGCAGCAAATAAACGCATAACAAGAACAATCAATCCCCTGATAATGATGAACTTATGTTTGCAAAACCCCATTATTCCACTTTGACCAATAAGAGCTGCATGTTTGTATTTTATTATATGACTCAGTACAGTTATTGTGGAATAATCCAGGTTGTAGTCTGTGCTAATGGTATTCCCACTGTGTCTAATTTGACAAAAAAATCGTTGTGTAATATATTTAAACATAAGGCTTATCTTGGATGGTCAAAGAGCCTGAACAGATTGATATACAGTATGAGAAAATTAATGAGTGTCTTCTGTTTAACACCTATGTTATAAACAGACATAAAAACAGCATTTCAGATATTTTTTTTTTCTAGGTTTCCTGTTTTGATTGGTCATTAATTCTTTACTATTTGTTTTTCATAAAAGAGGAGACTTCACTCTGCCTGCGATATATGTAACTGAGTTTTATTAATATAAATAAAGAAAATGGTATAAGAGTTGACATTTTGAACTTGCTTTAATGCATAATCAGCAAATGTCGTTGACAGCTTTCATAAAATTTTAAACAATACATTTTTGAGGAAGGAATAATGTCTCAATGATGCACAAACTCATTAAATTTAGCTAAGAGTTTCCATTCGGCTGATCACTGATCAGGACCAATCAAACAAAAAGTCATCTGATTTCTGTCACCATGCAATTTCTTGTTTCATCTCTGGTGCATAAGTTTATGAAAGTTTGCTATTAGATTAAATCTTTTGCTTATTTTGAATGTTTTTAATTAAAAAAAAAGTCCTAACCATTTAAAAGCAATAGCCGTTTTTAGTATCATACATCAAACTATACTAATAGATGTTTCTTAAACAACAAAACTGGTCTTTTGTGTTGCAGAATGAATTATCTATATAGTGTTAATTACACAAGTTATTTAAGCCATCCTCGGAGAACTATAAGAAAAACAAGCATCATTTATTGCACCCATCAGTAGAAATTGTGCTGATCACCAACATGCAACATCTTGAGTGACAGTCTTTAAGAAGGCATAAATTTATTATTTTTCATCTGTAAACTGTTCTTCTAATGCTATTTTGTCTTTTGTTTTTCACTTTTATTCCCTGCAGATATTTGCATTGCAACTGCAATATCCCTTCTCATGATTCTTATATGTGGCATGGCGACATATGGTGCTTACAAGGTAGGACACGCAACGCCAGTGTGAACCAGACCCCAATCTGGATTTACAGAATATGAGTTTCTCTATTTAATCCTAATCTCTCCCTCGTAGCAACACGCTGCTTGGATCATTCCATTCTTCTGCTACCAGATCTTCGACTTTGCCCTCAACACACTGGTGGCCATTAGTGTGGTGGTTTATCCCAACACGGTGCAGGACTACCTTCAACAGCTGGTGAGCAGCAGCTCAGTAAACCTTAAGCATCCACTCTAGAGGTTCTTATGTTCTGTTTTAAACTGCAGTCAGTCAGGAGTTTATGTAACGGTGGAATCATTTAGTGAAATTAAGACGTAAAATTAAATATTAGCCATGCAGATTAAGTGATCATTGTGACCTCTGTGATTTAAAGATGCCTTTTTTTGTTGTTCTTGATTTCTTTTTCTTCCTCTGTGCGTCTTGTCCAGCCGGGGACATTCCCTTACAAGGAGGACATCATGTCCACAAACAATATGTGCCTAGTCTTTGCAGTCCTGCTCTTCATTGGCTGCATCCTTTCCTTCAAGGTAGGTGCTCCTCGAAACTAAAACGTCTAAAAATATCAGTGAACAAACCGAAGGCCAGGGAACATAGCTGACAGCTCAGGAATAAATTCTGGAGTTTTGCTCCCACTTCACGATTCTGCATTACTCTGTGTTGGTCTATCGCATAAACAATAAAAAATTTAAGCTTGTCGTTGTAATGGGAACAAATCTGAAGAGCATGGATCCTTTTGGAAAAGCCCCGCTGTCAGAGAGCAGAGGGTCATGGACGTCAGGAATCCAACTCTTGCCAAACCGATTCTCCATTCATGCACGGATGACTCTTCAGGCGCAGCTACACTCCGAGGCTCTTGGACGTGATGGGGCATAAAGTTGCAGTCATCTGTACAATCAAATCAAGTTGTTTCTCCTCTAAGCCGAGATTAGAACTGTTGTCGGCAGATATCCGAAGCCAGAGCCGGGGTTTTATGACAGGAAGCAGCCACTGGAAAACAGCCCGCAGTCAAAACAGTTAGAAATGTCGTGCCTTTGACAGTGAACTTGGTTCAGCTTATGGACTCCATGCTGAAAAATGATGCGCTCATGACATTGGCCACCGCATACAAGGACATCATAATTACTGCCAGTCTTTGTACAGCGCATTGAGACCCGCAGAAAACACCAGATGCTAACACTCAAGGTCTCCTTAGTGAGCACCTGCTGACGTTCCTCCTCAAGCCAGCATCCTTCACTTGACTGCACTTGGCAGAGTTGACACCAGCAGATGGGGAAAAGGAAGAGCTGGACAAAAGAAGATGAAAGAAAAGGCAATTTAGGAAAGAGGACGATTGAAATGTCTTGAGTGACTGGGTTGAAAAGGAGATGCAGAAACGTGAAAAAAAGAGCTTTTCGGAGTGATTTTTATGAGATACAATAAGAAATGCATCATACTCAAACCGCAGGAAAGAAAATGTACATTTGTATTCCGTATACAGTTGATTAAAGAATAAAATCGTGGACAGCAGAGCAATGCAAGGAATAATAATGAGCTGACGAGCGAGGCCACGTTTCAAACTTGAGCAAATTGATGCTGACTGCTTGAGTTGACCTTACACAGAGAAGGAGGTCGGCTCAGCAGATGGCAAAGCGATTGGCTTGCACTCTGCTTGGCTTCCTGGTTGATTGCTCCCAGTGCTGGCAGGGGCACCGACTCAGCAGGCTAATAACACAGGCACACAATGAATCTGCTCTTCTTCTGCCAAGTCAGAGACCTCCCTTTCATTCAGGTATAGCCTCAGTGAAGCAAGACGTGCCTGTCAAGTTGCTAATAGTAGCGTGGCTAAGGCTCAGTAAGGACGAGGAAACGATCCAGAGTGTTGTAATAACACTGTTACGTGCCTCTACCTAACTCTCCTTCATGAATAAATCACAACAAAACATCGCCAGCATAACCGAAGGCTCTTTGTGTGTTAATACTTTTATTTGGTTTGTCGTTTTACCTTCTGTGTACAGGCCTACCTGATTGGCTGTGTGTGGAACTGCTACAGATACGTGAGCGGCAGAGGCACCACAGAAGTCTTGGTTTATGTCACAACAAACGACACGACGGTGAGTCGCCATTTCCCCTCTCCTTTCTCAAACTTATTGAGGTTTTATTTACAGAGAGGTCATGCTTCTACCTGAACGGCTCTTTGTAAGCCGCCATCTCTTAAGCTGCGATTCACAAAATTCCCATGCAGTTATTGCAGTTATGATGAAAGTCCACATGTAGACTGAATTTAGTTTTAGAATTTAAACATGAATACCTGCCCTGGTAAAGATGTGGAAAGAGTTCAGAAATAATTTGCCGTGGCATAAGTCTCAACAAAAGTTTTTTTTTTTAAATATATTTAATTTGATTTGATTTATTCAATTATAAACTAACTGACTCAGACTAGACACAAATGCTACGTGACAATCCAATTATAATCCTAAAATTTCTATTAAAAGAAGGTAAATTTGTTCTTGTTTTTGTTGCAAAATCAGCTCAGAAATATTAAGTAGTGGAGTATGAATCGAAATTAGTTTGTTTTAATTCTGGAATTTAAAACTAAAACTAATTTATACTAAGGCTGGAATTTATAATGAAGATCTAGTGGTGAAAAAGGTGAAAGCTTGAAATATTTTCTTCCTTTTATCTTTGTTACTTAAACAACTTTTACCTGTTGAGTTACAGTTTTCTGGGAAGCCGGCAGCAGCTTCCTTTGGGTCTGAGTCTTTGTTTCCTCCATCTGTTTGACGGGAACTTAAATTGGAGATTTGTTAAAACATCTTGTGTTGAGTAATTATGTACAAATAATTGTTGTTAAGCTGCTGCCCCCGCAACCCGACCCCGGATAATCAGCAGACGATGGATGGATAATTGTTGTAAATAGAAGTGCAGCTGTGTAGACTATGGCCTGATTCTGGCCTGATTCAGTGTTGAGTTGTTGTTCGGTTGGACTCAGCGATCTGATGGGTTTCTGCTGGCTTCTCTCAGGTGTTCCTGTTCAGGCAGCCCGTCCCGTTTCTCCCCCTCAGCATTAACGCCGTTTGTTTCTAAGAGGCTTTAGCACGGTCATGGTTTCCATGTGTCTGTCGTGTGTATAATCCTCCATCCTGATAGATAAGACATTAATCTGCCTCACACCCCCCGGTCGACTCCATGCGCAGCACTTTATCCGTCTGTCACTTTGTCCTTGTGCTCCAGTGGCCACGCTTCTTGCTGATGATGCTTTTCCTCTTAAACACATGACTCCGTTTGCAGCTGCTCATCCAGCAGGCTCTGATGTCACACTGTGCATCGTACGGGCCTTCGGCAAACATTAGACATGTTCCAGTTGCTGTCTTCACTCCTAGATCGTGAAAGGACAAGACGCTTTGATTGTAGTTTGGAGCTTCTAAACTGCTTTTGCTCGGAGAGACTTCCACATGCAGACAAAATAGTTTAGACGTAAATGGAAATACACAAAACACAAGCAAATAAGGAAAACGTCTCACGAAGCCACACATGCAAATTGTCACAGTCAGTAGTGAAGATAACAACAGAGTTACCTAGGACACAATAAAACTAATGGACTCAATACAGACCAGTTGTTATTTTGAAGCTATATCTTCTCTGTAATTATTATTACACAGGATCAAACTTTAGTAAACAAAAATAAGTGTTAGGAATGATATCACCATTCAGAAACTGCGTGATTATATATTTTTTTCTGAATTTCATTTGATTTATGTTGACTGATTCCAGCTGAGGCTACAAACTCTAATAGTTTTTAACATACTGGTGATGCTTTCCTACTTTGCCTGTAATTTGTATTTTGTAAAGGCATTTTTTTTTTTGCACATGAAGGCATACAATTTTAAATGTATTTATTTAAAGAGAAAAAAAGAAAACTAAATGCCATTAGTGAATTAAAAGTGTAATCAAAGTTTTGCAGTAACCAGGCCAGATGAAGGCCGCAGCATCTGCTGCTTGCATTTTAATCACAGGAGTATGAAAGAGCAGTTTGTTCCTGAATGCAGCAGAGATCTGTGTAAGGTTGAACCAATTTTAGATTGGACTAAAAAGACATTCAAACATGCTTTTATGTCTGCATTAACTCTGCCCACTGATATATAAAGCACTCTGGGTTTTTACCAATGAAAAACCAAGAGTGTTCAAATAGCTTTTTTACAGCCTTCGGACCTTAAGCACCCAGCTGCTTCCCCCTCTCTGTTGTGCTTTTCTATAAATGCCATTAAAATGCACCAGGGTCACCCGCCTCCCTCTGTTCCTCCTCTTACCCCTCCTCTTTCCACATATCTCTTTCTGCGCTCCCTTCTTCTGGAAGCGTTACATAACTGTCTGCTTGTCTGCTTCATTTCAAATCGTAGCTGTGATGAGTTCTCAGGGCCTCTCCGGCTGTTTCTCCCAGCGTCCTCTTGCTCGCTGAATTAGCGGCAGTGCTGGGTTTATAACGTCGTTCATAGAGAAAGACCTCTAACAGAGAGCAGCTCACAGGCCGGCCTGTGTGTGACGCTTCCTTAGAGTTGGTTCTGTGTATAAAAAGACCAGAAACTTTCATTTATCACTTACTTCCTTGTCTCGTTCGCTCCTTACTTTCCTTTTGGTATTTTCTCTCTGTTTTTTTCTCCAAGTTTTGTTATTTTATTATTTAGAAAGAAATCTGCCTTTTTTAAATTTTATTTTCTAGGTTAACGTTTTATTTGACATATCAGAATCTTCTTAAAATTGAAAGTGTAGGCCCAAAACAATGATCTCCTAATAAAACTCATTGTTGTCTATTTAATAATTTTTTTTAAATTTCTATTTAGTAGTGAATAGAACCACACACATCCAGCAACTTTGGCTGCAGCACTTCATTCAGTTTGGCTAAAAACAACAATATGTTTTGAAGAAAGATTTGATTCTTCTGAGGATAGATTTTCTTTTTAAATTCTAGATTAGGTAACTAGAAAACAATCACCTCAAATCGTCTGTGAAATCACAATCTGCATCTCATGCGTATGAGTTCCTGTGAAGACGAACTTGCCAAAATGTAAGACCAGATATCTTTAAAGATAAAGTTCCAGCTCATAGAGATGGATTTAACATCTAATCCAAGAAAAGAGTTAATTTTTCACTTTCACTGAACCTCTAGCTAGATTAAAAACGAGAGTTTCTATGAAATTCTGAGTCACTGAGCTTCAGGTCTTTGTCCCAACGCAGGTCCTGCTGCCGCCGTACGAGGAAGCAGTGACCATCCCGCCGAAGGACCCCCCTCCTCAGTACATGGAGGCATGAGAGACGACCTTGCTGCTGAATTAGACACCCAAACAAACACCTTCCACATCTACTTCTCAACAGTAGGATCCCAACTCAGGCTGCAGTAACAAGTCAAGGCCATGTTTTTCCCTAGACGCTAGTTTCAGCCTGGATTCCTCTCAAGTTTAGATTAGATGAAACTGACCTTGACGTAACTTTGCTACTTCCTCCACCCCCAGTTTGTTGTGACACATCGTCTCCTCCAAGGACAGTGTGACCGTTCCCACCAGCGCCCCCTGCAGGCAGCTGCTCTTCCCTGGAGGCATCTGAACTCTTGGCACTGCCAGAACGCTCTGACCCAACTTTATTTAAACTCCCCCAAACCCTTCCCCCCTTTTTTTTGTTTGTTTCTTCTCCCGCTTAAATTAAAAGCTGCACCCGTAGGCCACCAACTGTTAAGCCCCGATACTGTGAATCAAACCCTGGTGTCTTTGAATAGAGACTTATTACGTGACAATGGATGAGAGACAAAGAAGCGTGTGAAAGAAAAACAATAAATGTTATCAGTAAAATAGCACTTTTAAAACAAAAACAAAAAACAAAACAAGTAGTTTGCAAATTTTCTTCAATGAATGTAATGTCAGGGTATTTTTGTATGACTTTTTCTATTACGGTGAAAACCGACGGGGGGAAACATGAGAAGTGTCGTCTGTTCTAACTGAAATATTAACTTGTGTCACTCATCCTGTGGGAAGGTATGCAGAGAAAAAAAACAACACCTGGACCGAAAAAAAAAAAAAAACATGTCTTCTATGTGTTTACCCATCAGCTACCAGTGGAACCCTCATCCAAGCCACTGGTTTCTGTCCCAGTATTCCAGTTTGCCTTCCTGTCTTTTCCTTGATCTAACATGGCGTAAGAGCTGTTTACAGTACGACTCCTTGCAGATCCACAACTGAACAGGGAGCAAGACGGGAACTAAAGTGAGCGCATGAGGTCAAACGTTGACTGTGCAGTTATAACGTGACCTTTAGCTAACGTGGCTTAGCCGGACTGAGGGTGTGTTCCCGCAAAGACCGCATGACTTGCTGCTGCAACTCGCATCCTTGTATTTGTTTTCGTGCTGCACATGTTATGTAATTAACCCCCTCAGTGATTTTCTGCTGCACATTCTGTGAAACCATACAGAATGTTGGCGTCGGCTCAGGAGCAGCGGATGAAGATGAAACTGTGGCGACAGACAATTAGGAGGCAGAATGGAGATGTGCAGTAAATAATCAAGTATTTTTGTCCCAGTCATATTTATAAGTGCATCTCAGTAAGTTAGAATATGGTCAAAAAGTTTATTTTTGTAATTCGATAAAAAAAATATATATATATATGCATATATATATATTTTTTTTTTTTATTAAAGTGTAGGGTTTTTTGTTATGACACACAGTCATGGAGAAGCCTGACATTTTGTCAAGGTCAGTGCTAAAGAACTGGTTCGTTCACATAGTGATTATTCAAACATTTTAACAGAAAGTTTAGTGGAAGAAAAAAAAACACATCTTTAAGGAAAGTCACATTGAAATGTTGGGGGATGACAATGAATTAAAGTCCTTATTTTATCTTATAAAATATATATTTTTTTAAATTTTGGAGGTTCATTAGTTATAACCCAATCATTAAAATGATCAGAAATAAACATTCAAAATCATCCAGAAGTTTGACTCTGAATCAAATTCCTGCGTTAACTTTTCGGCGATATTCTGATGCGGCGACATGCACCTGAATCACACAGGCTGTTCAGCCTCATTCTGCTCCATTTCATACTTGAATCCTGGTCTTATTAATCTCCTCCTGCCATCTTTAATCATATTTCTAATCTTCCCCTCTGCTAATCCTGCAGCACTCAGACTGTAAATGCACTTTAAAGTCATCTTCAGCCCGCTGGAAACTGATGTTTGTGTTTTTGGCTCATCCTTACCTGACTGTGCTGATGTGATCCGGTTTTCCAAACTGTACCAGCTGATGGTCAGACGTGTCATGAATCTGTGCTTGCGTCGTGTGAAAGCAGCAGAACCGGCAAACGTTCAAATGTATGTGAACCACTTTGTTTCAGAGGCTGATGGATGGATGAATTCATCCTGTCAGGACTTCTGTCTCCCCTTTTGTTGGATCTGCATGAGCTCATGTTTTCAATTATAAACAATAAAACTCTAAATCAACTCGTGTGGATTATTATTTATTGACTTATTAAAGCTGTTGATTCTGTGGATTAATGGAGAATAAAACGCTCGCCATAAATTTATAACCCGAGAATGTAGCACTGGTTTTTGACATACCAGATTAACCACAAGATATTTCAGAAACCTAGACTTGAGATTTGGAAAAGCGTATTTGAAAGCAACCTTGACTTTTTTCCAGTGCCAGAGCCTCGTCTGTTTAGTGCGAGAGCAGAGCATGGAGGGATTGATTCTGGAAACGATGCTTGCACTCTCCTCTGAATTGAGTCAGCTTGTTATTAGAGCTGAATGAAAGTGCTCGAGTTACAGCATCTTGTTTATGGTGAGGATATCCTGGGAACGTCGCTCAGCAGAAAATAAAATGCACCATAAGCCTGAATTGAGCACAAAGGGCTGACTGAGATCCGCTCTGTGCCAGAGAAAAGTCTCCGAGTCATAAACGTTTGAGAGTTTTCCCTCACATGGACACGGGGAACTGCAGCAGGTTGACATTGCTTGGAAAAATCGATCCTTTTTCTTTTTATGTGTTTTTATCACGTAATTTAGAAAAACTTTTGGCCAAAACATCTGGATTTAAAGTGCTGCAGAAAACCAGACAGATGCATTCACCTTTCTGCCAGTAGGACGGGGCAGAAAAATAAACTAAATGAAAACTGGGTCACGTTCTGGCTCTTCTTACTGAGATGGTTGTCAGGAAAGGAAACAAGATTACAGGATAAAATCAGCTTCTGACATTTAAATTTCGATGAAAGGCACACATTTCTTTAACTGCATCCCACAGGATTCAGTGAAACATTCACATTAAACATGTCTAATGGAAGACTTTTGTTTAACCTTCAAAAATGTCTTTTCATGCAAAAACATATTTTCTCTTGTCAATTTGATGAGAAGCAGGAAAACAAGTTTCCTCTATTTATGGGAGAGACTGCTCACACTCATTAGTACCGATGCTTTCAGAGCCTCGCTAGACGTCCTGATTTTCCGTGCGGATTCTGCGGCACGTGAATCAGATCAGCAGAAATAAATTGAATGTAACTGGAAATCCAGGAAGCAGCTTAGGGATGCAGTGGGTGGAAAAACTGGGCCAAACGGCTCGATGCGTGATGGACCTACAGGCTGGCGGCCCGACGGCTCCAACTACTGACGGATTTGATCGTCTGTGTTCGTGAATTCTCACATTTTCATCCCTTCTTTTCCATTAGCAACTTAAGGTTCTGTTCCTCTAAACCTTAAGATCCTTTAAGCCAGGAGATGTAATTGGTACAGCGTCAGTCTTAAGATGCATCTGGCTTTTAAAAGCTTCAACTTTGGCTCTTTGAGTGGTTTTGTGTCACGATCCTCTTGAGGCTGCTATGTTCTTTCTACCGTATTTTTTCCTTCCACTCAACCTTCCAAAGATTGCTCTGAACAATTTCCTTAGCAAGGACCTTTGGTCGCTTACATTCCTCGTGAACAGCGTCTGAAAACTGTTGAGTCAGCAGTTTCCTCCATGACTGTGAAAGCCACGGCGTAGGAACAGCGTTCACGTTTCTGACATTTTATTGCGTCAGCCTTAATTATCCATAAACTGTGAAATTAACAGAAGCAGCTAAAATATATCAATGTGTAATAAAACATCAATTTTTGCACTGAACTATTGTAACTAACTTTCAAATGTTACTCTTAGCATTTAGTAACTGTTGAAATGTTTTTTTCCCCTATAGCTTTGTCAGTGATATTTATAATGTAGGTTAATTCACAGACATCAAATGGCTCTTAATGAAGCAATAGCAATTGCAGAAAACACTCAAATCAAAGCCCCCATTTGTAAGTCAAGCAGACGGGTCAGCAGACCCATCCACACTTTACATGACGGATCATCACCCTGTGTGGCCTTGCATGCCGGCCAACACGGTCTATAGTTTATGTAAGTGTTTGGAGGAAGGGAGGACGCGGCGCTCTGGGATTAATAGTTGCATAATTTTGACATCGGAGCAGTTCCATCCTGATGGTTTGCACTGAACCCTCTAATCCAGTTGTGATGCTTTTGTTACGCAAGTATCTAAAAATAATATTGGTTTAAAGTTACATCTGAAGGATTTTACCTAAACTTGTCTACTGTTCATATGGACCAGAGTGAATCCCTTGCAGCTGCGGCGTCAAAACTTTTTTTTTTTTTTTTTGAGTTTGAGCCAAGTCAAGATCATGGAAGCTCTTAAAGGGCCGGTTGTTCCAGAAGGTATTGATAAAACCTGTTCACAAACTATTAAAATATCAATGATTTTTTTAAAAATTAAATAATGTTTAACATCTTTTAATTATTATTAATATTATTATTAATAACATCTTTGTGATTTATTATTTTTACAATAAAAACCAAAGTTATTAGTTTGGGAATATTTGTGCTTATGACAATAAATGTGACTTTTTATTCCTTACTGTATAAATCATGGACTATTTATATGACATCAATTAAGCCTGAAGCAGCTGTTTAGTACAAGTGAAAGTTTTTGTAAATTTGTGAGAAAAATCTGTTATAAACTCCCATTTATGTATTAATATAAAAAAGTGCAAGAATTTGTTGATTTTGAATGAATTACTACCGCAATTCCTAAGAAACTGGATAGACATAATTTGGCAGCATATAGATAAAAACTGCATTGATTTAATTGATAGCCTAATATTTAAGCACATTTTGTGTTTAGTCTAGAATCTAGAGGGCCACATAAAAAGCTATGACGGGCTGGATTTGGCCCACAGGCCTCGGGTTTGACCTACTGAAAATGTTCCTGTTATTATGGGAATAAATAACAGAGTACAAGGTTCTCTGGGAGAGGAGGTGGCAAAATGAAAACAGCATTATTTTAATAAAAAAGAAACCACATGGCAACCATGTTAAATTTTTTTTTTATTAGTAATATGGCTCAGCAATCTACTGGGCCTGCTGCTGCTGATCCGGCATGCTCCTGATGATGTCAGAGTCGCCTAAGGACAAAAAGACGGAGCCAAGTCAGTAAAATGAATAAACCACTGTCACATTTCATTCAGTTTGTAAAACTATACAGTAAACATACATTTTTGCTTCATCAGCAGAAATAAACTAGACAGGAGGAAGATAAATGTTGCTAGCAAAGCTCTCTGAACTGTCCAGAAGGACGAGGCAGTTCATTAAAATGCTCCAAGCAGCTTTGATGTAGCGAACCACTAGTCCTGAACTGGACCACTCTGACTCGGGTCCATCAGGCGCAAAAATTCGCACTAAATAGTTCTAAAAAAAGTTAATCTGGAGCATTCAAATTCTTAAACTTATACATCTACAGTCAGATTTTTTTTTGATAGAGATTAAACAAATTACACTTTTAGAGCTACATGATAAATTATTTGTTTACATGCAAATTTTTGTTCAATTTAATCTCTAACCACATAAAAACTATTTTAGCAGATTTACTAGTAGTTGTATTTAGTAACAGGAAAAAAAAAAAGTTTTGTTTGGTTCTGCTAATTCTAAGTGACTGGATCATTACTTGAAGGTGATGTGTTCAAGGTCATAGCAGAACAGAGGTCAGTCAATGAAGCTGTTCACTGTATGAAAACAACCGAGACCCTTTAGGAATTACTGCAGCAAATGTTCCTGCTGGTCAAACTGTTCTGCTCTGAATGCCAGTCATTCAAAGAATATTGAACTTAGAAAAAGTGCAGAAAATTCAGCTGGCTGATCAGCTAAAATGACCTGAAAAGCTTTAAAATGGAACATAAGACCTTAAAGCCACAAATTAAAAGTGGAAAACGACCATTCCAGAGGTTGGAAGAAAATGCAAAATGGAGAAACATCAAGTACCTACGAGCTGCAGGCTGACTGAAGGAGGCCTGAAGTTACCAGTGAGAACTTCAACATTAAGACACTTAAATCAAGATTTTAGCATGAACTTCTATCGTTGAAAAGGTTGGAATGATCCAGAATACACCGACTGGTCTAAAGAGAATTGGAGCTACATTTTGAACAGTGATGAAAGAAAATCTGTTCTTTTTAGACTCCAAACAGGAAACAAGCTCCATCTTGAAACCAGACCAGCGAGATCAATGTCACAGAACAAACAAGCAAATATTTGGCATTCAAGCATGTTTCAGTTGACACCATGGAATAAAATTGCTTATTCTTCTTAATGCAAGTATAGAAATAATTGAACTCTTTAAAAATCTACTTGACTTTATTTCTAGGCGACGATACCAGCTGTCAACTTCTCAATGAAAACCCAACAGAACGCCTGAGGTGATGTCTGAATTAGCTGCTTCTGTCCAACAGGGTGGATGAGAGGCTGCAGCTCCTTACCGGGGTCGATGATCGCCAGTGTGCACACCCTGTAGTACTTTCCGCAGGCGGTGCCGAGCTCGATGTTGTTCCCACTGTAGTGGTGGACTCCGGTCTTGGCCAGCATGGCGTAGTACTCTATCTCTGATTTCCTGAAACCGAAAGAGATGACGGAAATGTGAGGGAGGCAAATGAAATACAAATACTGTCAAATTAGCAAGACAAATTCCCAGGCAACAAAACTTTTTTGCTATTTTTGGCGACATTTCATATTAGGAAAAAAAAAAAAAAAAAAAGAGCTGAATGGGCCTCCCTTCTTAAGCTGCTACCCCCACAACCCGACCCCGGATAAGCGGCAGAAGATGGATGGATGGATATTTAATCATTTAAATAAAACTCCAATATTCCAAAAATTGTTAATCAGGATATCAAGCAACATATTGAACTGCAATGTCAGGAGTGTGATTTTAAATTTTGACCATTGCATGTGTACATGTAAGTGAGAATTACATGATACCACTTTAAGGCATATGGTAATTCAAATTTTTCTACACTCTTGAGCAGACAGATTGAGTTTATGAAGAACCTCAACTTGAAATCACCAGTATTGCATTATGCCAATTTTATCCCAGGAGCTCCTTGGTATAAGTGCATAACTTTACTTGTTATGCACTCCAACCATACATAAAAATATTAGTCAAAAGAAAATCTGAAAACTTTCCTCACATGTATGGAGAATTATACAAAGAATTATCTTTATTTATTAAACGTCATCAACACAAAAAACAACATGCAAGACTTATTTAGAGGCATAAATGGAGATAATATTGCAATTTCTGTATTATAGTTGAATTCCAAACCAAAATCTGCTTTCTGTAATATAGTCAATGCAGATTCAATGACTAGGCTTTGAATGGTGTAGATGTGTTGTACATTATTCTTACTTCTTATTGATTAAAATCTCATTTATTGCAACACAATCTCAAATCTGTTGACAGTGTGTACCTAAGAGCAGGACAGTTGTTGGCCAGAATAACCAGCTTAGCTTTCCCCTGACGGATCATCTTCTGGGACTGTTTGTAGCCCAAAACGTACTTTCCACTCTTCATCACCAGCTGGAGACGAGAGTTTATGGACTCCATAGACTTTTTCTAAGCGGAAAAAAGACAGAAGTCAAAAGGGTTAGCATAAACAAACGCAAAGATCACGAAGCTGAAGTTTTTTTTTCTCATTCCAGCTTCCGATTGGAGAAAACTTTTCTACTACCTTCCGCATCTTTAATCGATTCTAGTTTGCAAACTACAAGATCGAGAATATTTAGAACCATGTTTGGGATTTGTGCAACTTCACTTAACAGAGCTCTGCAGAAGATCTTTCCTTCCAACAGCCATCACCATCTACAATAACGCTACGCCAACATTTAATTTTCCATTGGGATGGATTATTAAAGTAGTTTTGAATTAGAACTGAATTTGGAAACAACAAAAAACAAAACTGCATGGAACAAATGTAATCTAAGTAATCTCTAAGTAATCTCTAAGTAATCTAAACTTTAGTGAAATTTCACAAATCAGAAAAAGGTTTCACAAATCCCAAACATGGTTCTAAATATTTTGCTATTAGAGCAGAATAATCCAGTCCAGGTTTGAAGAGTCTAGATGTTGCAGTTTGTAAACTAGAATCGACTTCAGATGCGAAAGGTTGTGAAAAATCTTAGCAATCGCCAACTTCAGCTTCGCGCAAAGATCTCGATAGGAGAGTAAATTAGCCCAAAATGTTTCCACGTTTCAACAGCTTTCGCAAGTTAGATTTAGCTAACTAGCATTAGTACCGTTACCGTTTCATTCGGTCTTAAAATACAAATTTACGTCGCATACTTATCGCTCAGTGTAAATTAAAAAATATATATGCGCATTAATAGATATAAAATGAAACGGTAACGATTCAACCAAATTCTACAAATGAGGGGGGAAAAAACGTTCAACTTGCTAGCTGCGACGCTAGCTAGCTAGTAGGCCGCGGCGGAAACGTGTTTGCACGTGAAGCTGCCGTCCAGCCTGCCGCGGCGCGAGACATCGCCACTCACCGTCTTCTTTGCGGCCACCATGTTTGCGGTTTAGTCCGAACCGGCCAACCTGCGTGACAAACAAGAACCAGGAGAAGACTACGGTTATGGTTTTATCTGCGCGAAGTGTCCAGAAAATGAAAAGTTTCGTGTAAAAAACCCGGAGCTCGCCTTACAGTGAAATCTCTCCAATAGGGCCTCGGAGGAAAAGGAAGTTGCGTAGTTCTTCGTGTTGGTTTCTTCTGTTCCGCTTCCGCCGGAAGCCACTGCGCGGATAGCTTTTTTCTATTTCACCTTGACAAATTACAAATAAAAAATTAAAATTAAGTTATTTGTTAATATGTTGAATAGATTTTTGAAGTTCCGAAATTAGAAAAATCAACTGCAATGCCTTCTGAAGCCAAAATTTCTGATTGGAAAAGAGCGACTTCTTTTCCACAATTCAATATGGCTGCCAATAGAAAATAATCATATCAAAGAGTTTAAAAATATATTTTTCTTCTATTGATTTTCTGATTTGCTAACAGATCAGTTTCAAGCTGTTCCAAGCACTTGATTCAATTTACTTTAATAAAATGCAACACAAGGTCTGTCACCAAACCCAACCTCAAAAGGCAATAAGGCTGCAACACAAAAAAATAATGGAATATTTAACTGTCTATGAACACTTCAAATAATGTATTAGATATCACTTCAGATAACTATTGAAATTCAGTTCAATTTCTTTTCATAAACAAGACTCTACAAAGAAAAAATGGCTGCAGTATGTAACTATTATTAAATAATATATTTTTACCTATTTGTTAAAATTATCATTATGTTCTGACAGATAATAAATGGGGCCACATGGGGCCGCGTTTCATTGGCTGATGCCCATTCTACGTAATAGCGCGTCTGTTACGTAGGATAGACGCGCGTGGCCGTCTCACAAACACAAGCGAATGTACATGCATTAGTAAACACAAGCTAATGAATGTCCGACTTGCAAGAACAATTAGCATCAGTGATCAGTGATCTATTGATGCCGAAAGCATTTTGCTGTGATGTGCATAATGTTGGAGGCATCGCGTGGCTCAAACACCTTGACGTCATCCAAAAAAGATGGCATGAACTTGTTAGTTCCTCTGTCCATTGTTATAGCTGATATTTGTTGAAAATCCGGCTGAAATTATGCACTAATCGACTCAGAAATACTTATCACTCTACGTGGAAGACCCCATGTTTTCATAGAAACAAAGTGCCGCGAGGCTTTGTTTGTGAGACTAGGGGCCGCGTGGGATTTTCTAGGTCGTTATGGGCGGAGCTTGGTATGGTCCATACTACAAGTCAGAAATAGCCAATCAGAGGCAAGAGGAGGGCTTTAGTGCTGTCAAATACTCCTGTGCGTGCGCATGCTCTGTGGTGACTGACAGCTATAAGAACTTACTCCTCACTGATTGGTTGTTTTTGACGGACTCGGTGCAGAGCGCAACAGTAGCACTGGGAGTAGGCAGAGGAACTGGATTTATTTATTTTTTATCAGACTATCTCTCTCATACCTTAATGTCAGAGCATGGTGACAGTTTTAACAAATAAGGGGAAAAATATGTATTTCTTTAAAGTTACATACTGTATCTTTAACTGTACAAAGGTTTACAGAATGACATCTTAATTAATTGAACCCAGTGAGTATGGGGAGTGCCATGCGAAAGTAAAATAATTCAGGAGAAGTCTCCCAAGCTAACATTCCCAGGTTAAAAATTGAAACATTAGAGAAAAAAAATTGAAGCACAAAAATGAATAATGTTCTGCTCAAGAGTGTAGAATAATGTTCTATTCTATGCAGATATCTGTGCTGTAATATGCAGATATAATATAGCATATAACAGTGGAATTCTTGTGCGTTTCTCCAATAATACTAACGTTTTTATGAAAAGATAAGTAAATAGATATATATAAAAGATAAAATGGACATGTAAAAAAAAAACAACAACAACACGCATTTAAGAGATACATTAAGCTTATAATTGTTCCTAAAGTGAAATCCGGAAATAGCCGACTTTGTTTTCCTGATTCTCTTTCCATTGACGCGTCTGACTAAATAAAAGTTGCCTTCCTTCCCCAGCTGTCTACTAAAAACAAAACAAAACACAAAGAGCCTCTTACCTACATTGTCCAACTATGTCAAAAAAGAAAAATTGAAGAAAAACAGGAAAACTCTCGGCAGAAGATGAACAGGTTCCGCTCTGGCCGCACCCACCAACACACGTGCGTGACGTCATCGCTGCAGGTAGCAGCTGAGCCCACTGAGCGTGAAAGTCTCCATTCCCCGGTGCGTACAGGGCAGGATGGGATGCTCCACCAGCTCTCAAACTTCTGCGGTAGACACGACTCGACCCAACGCCAAACCGGAGGAGAGCAACGGAGCCAGCACCACAGGTGACTGAAAAAAGATGTTACTTTATTCCTGTGGACGAATTATCAATAATAATAATAATAATAATAATAATAATAATAATAATAATAATAATAATAATAATAATAATATAATAATAATAATAATAATAATAATAATAATAATAATAATTAAGGCAGGTGTACATGCAGAAGTTGCCTGCAGGGAGGGAGCATTCTTTTTTTTTAATGAACTAATGTTGTCAAATTAATAATTCACTTTAATCAAAGCAATATGAAAGTAATATCTTTTTAAAAATCTGTTGTCTGCTTGTATAAGAGTTAACATTTATACATGCCTTCAAACCAGTGGTTTTCCTCAAATTAAATGCATGAATCTCTAATCCACTTCGGTTAAAGTAATGCTATAAATAGCCCTGAGAGTGTCTGTGGAAATGGTGTCAAGTTTGGAAGTTCTCTGTTTTCTCCATTAAAGAGTTGCCATTTGTCCATTTAATGCTGCAGTGAGTACATTTAGATAAGGGATGTAAATTGGTGCCAGTGTTATTTCTCTGTGTGCGTTCGCTTGGGGTGAGCCCAAGCGAACGCAGGGACAGGATGAGAAAGTTTATTGTCATTAGTTAACAGTGGTTTCTGGCTATGTCCTCCCACAGCAGATTTGGTGACGGTCTACGGTTTCAGAAGGAAATGGAGAAGCGGAGCCGGGCAGGACTTTGTTGTAGCAAGGTCAGAGAGGGCTCTTGCTTTGGTGCAAATGAGTGTGTACACTACTGCAGAATGAGGGGAGGGTCAAAAAAGCTATGTGCGTGTGAGTGAATAGAGTTTAAAGTGAGAAGTTTGTCGAAGCAGCTGAGACGATGAAAAGGTAAAAGATTCACTAAGTGGGACCTCCTCGGAGGTGAAAGCACGCAGATGTAACGCTTTAAAGAACACCCAGGGAGCTGGGAAAGTGTGTCTGACTTCCCTGTGCAGGTGGCAGACAAAGTGAGATATGCTCACCAACGTTTCTGTTTTATTACTGGCTTTTGTTTTGAGTTTATCAGCGAAATAACAGTGAACAGTATCCCTGGTTTCTTGTTATCAGCCTCATGGAGGTCAGATGGAAATGTATCAGGATGTCTCCGCATTTTTGCATGCATCTTATTTTCCTTCTCCGGATGCCTGAGGGAGAAAAAAGTAAACACTTTTTAATCCAAGGCTTATACCTCTTGAAGACACATTTCCCTGATGCCAAGTCTTTCAGTCGGTTACTACGACCTGTTTTGTCTTAATTAAAAAACGTTGTTTTTTTTTGTCTTTTTTTTTGCCGTTTTCGGCTGTCGATTAGTTTTGTTCCAGCTGACTCTTGTAATATTGAAAGCAGAGACTTGAAACTTTCTGTGATCCATGCAAATTATCCCAATGCAAACCATTCCACCCAAAAACTCTTCAAGGAAGTGGTGCAGCATATCAGCAAGATACACAGCAGCCTGCCAACGTCGCAGCCTGCTGTGCTGTTAATGTTCCTGAAAAAGAGTCCTCATAAACATTAACGTGGGTTTATGTCAAACAGAGGTCCCTTTTTAGACATATTTTTGCTTTCAATCTAATGAGAATAGCAGATATTTGGAAGATGAAAAGGTTTTCATTTGCTTTCTTGTTGCCTCTTTTTACATTCTGGTGAAAGATGCCATCATAATCCTTTAAACGTGAATGTTTTTTTTTTTTCTCAAATAGCAACGACAAAGCAATGCATTTTCATGCGGGGAAAGTTTCTGATTGCTGTGTCATGTTAGTAACCCAAACCGTACATATTTCTACTCTTCCTGTTTATTTATTTTTTTAAATTAAGCCTGACTTCCAGCTGCTACCCGGATCACATAAGCACTTCACAAACAACAGAGGAAGTAACATTACTGCTGCTTTTTAAAGCAGTAACACAATGCCTCGCATCTGAGTGTTTCTGTTTGTGCAGGTATGCGGTCACTAAGGAACCGCAGCGACTCAAAGTTCTGCTATTAACTCACCTGTGTTGCTGTGATTCAGGTCATCAGTCTGTTGAAACAGGAAATCAGAAAAGGAATATTAAACTCTCAAAACAAAACAATGAGCCCTTATCTTTGCTGTGTCATAATTTATTATTATTATTATTATTACTGTCAAAGATTGATATTTTGGACATTTACTTTGCGTCTTCATAATATGTTTTCACAGCTTTCTGATGACACTGCAGGTTTATTTACTTTGTTCAATATTTCACACTTCTATACACTGTAGCTGTTATTTTAAAAAAGCTGGTTTAAAGCTGTAAAATATCTTGAAGTTAACCTGACAAAGTGACAGTTTCAGTTTAAGGTGCTCTTGGAATTCATTGTGATCAATACTTGTTAGCTTAGTTTCTAGGAACTATTGCAACATCCTTTGATTGTTTGCTGAGTCGTTGTACATGTTCCCAACAGGGGCGGGCGGTGAGAATGGAAAAGTAGCTGAGGACACCGAGACCATTCCAGACCAAACACCGGCTGAAGGCGGCGATGCTAAACCTGAGAGCGAAGCCGCTGCAGCTGCTACAACTGCAGAGAGCTCTGCTCCGAGCCCCCCAGCGGCGGAGGAGTCGCCTCCTGCAGAGGAAGCTGCACCGGCACCGGCAGCAGCAGGCGATGCAGCAGCAGCAGCAGGCGATGCAGCAGCAGCAGCAGGAGAAGTGCCAGCAGAGGCTCCACCTGCAGACGGCTCCACTGAAGCAGCGCCGAGCTCCTCAGAGGCTGCACCTCCGGAGCAAGGTGGGTTACAGTTAAAAATAACAAGCAGTGACGTGCAGAGTGAGCAACGTAGTGAGTGTTACTGCGTTGAGCTGGGGAAAGCTCAGTCATCTTTGGATCTAGTTTAAATGCTTCTGAACATCCACATCCTAACATTGCCCTGCAAAATATTCCCTTAAAAGGATTCACTCATGCTCTTTTATCAACGCAAATTACTCCTGATATGCAAATCTCCTTAGAGTGACTGATGACGGCATTGAGACAGCCTTCAGGCTGACTTCTCAAAGTTTTGGAAGAGGGATGTGGATAAATTATGCATTCATGTGCTTTTATCTTATTTTTTCAATTTGAGAACAAAATCCAAGATTTACATCGCTTGGCATCAGGCCGCTCTGTGGTTTTCCTTCCCAGTGGGAGGAAGACAACATGTGCAGATATTTTTCCCTGGCCATTGGTAACCAGAGTGGTTTTAATGCCCTGGTGCAGGTACATGATGTCCCCTCTGTCTTTCCCCAGACCATCCTCATCCTGTGCATTGGCTGTAACCAGGTAGTATCCAACATTAGTTGGCTGCAGGAATGTGTTTGCAGGCCACACCTCTAATTATATTTTGCTAAATAATCTGCCTCTGTCACTTTACTCAGTATTCTTACGGTGATTGGTGAACTATTTGATAGCTCAATTCATGGTAACCAGAGTTGGGTGATAAAACAATATCCCAATAATTTTTTTAAACATCTCATAGAGCATTGTTCAAGCCATCAGTTGAAAAATGAAAAGAATACAGCACAGCTGCAAATTCACCATGACACGGCCGTCCGCCCGAACTGAGTGGAAGCTGGTTAATCAGAGAAGCAGCATGTCACTCTTTGTCATCTGATGGCTTAAATGCTAAATGTAAAACGAAAAACCTTTTTATCTAGGAACAAGTTTCAAATCTTTATTCTAGGTATTTTTATCTTAAGCAATAGGTTCAAGGTATTGATGGACTGTGGAGATTTAATGAATGATCTATGAAATCAGCCCATTCAACCAAAGCTAAGTGTGTTTCTAGAGAACGTGTCACGTTTTTAGGGAGATGATCCCACCTCTGTTCCTCAGTGCACATCTGCACATTGATCTGCGTGACTCTGGGCAGTTTTCACTGCTATCGGTTCTCAGCGATGCAAATGGCCCTCACCGCAAGCGTTTGTTCAGCTGGTCAACTCTTCATTTTTCTCTACGCTCAATGCAAAGCATCCAACTCTTCAACAACAGAGCAGAGCGGTAGAAGCTTTAGAAGTGCAACGCAACAGGATGATTGTGCATTTTGTTTTCTCTTGGATTCACATTTTACGAAAAGCCTCAAATGTGTTTAGTCCACATATTTCTAAGTGGTGACGGAGAAATGAAAGCAGGACGTAACGTCAAGACGAAAGGCATCTGTAGATCAGAATTGCATAAAGTATGCAACACAGAAAAATCATTCAAAGACCAATAGAAAACTTTGAGAATTAGTAGAGAAAATCTGCCTCTCCAAAAAAAGCCTAAAATATTCAAAACCTTTGCTCCTTGGAGACAAACAAAATGCTTTTTCTGGCTCTCACTTGATCTTGACGCCTCCCTCTGGTGTCCAACTTGACTCGACCTCAGATCAGGCTTTGACCACAGACCAGCTGAGTTGTTCTGCCTGCAGCTGACGTGTTTTCAGCACTTTGTTGTCAGTGCCGTCCAATTAATTTGCAATCCGAGTCCGCGGAGTAACCGGAGCACGTTACAGGGCTTCCACCGATGTCGGGCTGCAGGCTGAACCTCCTTTTCACAGCCAACGCAGAGATGAGAGCGTGTCACACAAGCAGAGAAGCTCAACCATTTCTGAGGATGTTAGGGCCATTTTGTTGGAAATTTCAAACCAAAAGCATCGAAAGAGAAGCAACTGAGAAGAAGCATGCTGATTTCACACCAACAGGGTCGCAAATATTTGGATTTATATCGGAGTTGATCTCATTGTACTCAATTAAAAAAAAAAAGAAAAAAAAATTTTTCAAAATAAATTCAGGTTAATATACGGCTCTGGAATAAAATAAGAAACCACTTAAAATGATCAGTTTCTCTGATTTTATTCTTTACATTAATATTTGAGTGAATTTATGGTGATGAACTACTGACAACATGTCTCCCATATTCCAAGCAAAAATGTAGTATTTATTTGCAGAAAATGAAAAATAACGAAATTACAAAAAAGATGTAGAGCTTTCAGGGCTCAAATAATGCAGAAGAAACAAGTTAATGTTCATTTAGAAACAACAATACTAATGTTTTAACTCCGGAAGAGTTCAGAGATCAATATTTGGTGAAATAACCAGGAGGTTTTCAATGGGGTTCAGTGGTTTCTTAATATTTTCCAGAGCTGAATATTCAACCCTCAGAGTCAATACTTTATAGAAACATGTTTTTGTATAAATGTCAGCTGCTGCTGTTTTGTGGTACCAGCTTTGCTCATGTCAAGAGTTGAAGATGTTGTTTTGTAGTCTATCCTGCTGGAAACGTCTTCACAACTTCAATGCAAGGAAATTCAAATAAAAGAAGGGTAGATTTGTTAAAAATGATTGGAGAACTATGTATTACTTATCTTCCACTTCACATTCATGCACTGCTTTGTGTTGGTCTGTTAGATAAAATCCTCCAAGAATGGATTAAAGTTTCTATTTGTTAACATGACAAAATGCTAACAAAGGTGCCATTTACAAATCTGGATCATCGTAAGCAGGAGTGTAAAAATCCAGCCATGGACCATTTGTGGCTGAAATGACAAACGTGAAGTTCAGCAAAACATTTTTGTCTTTTATTAAGCATGCTTTTTTTTTGTTGGGTTTATATCCCAAACATCGATTCAATTCTGTAAAATACAACCAATGCTTTCAGACGAAGAGTGACACTTGCATTGTTCTAGTTCTCAAAAAAGTAGGAAACTGCAAAATCTTTTCCATATATTTCGTCTAGTTATTTATGAATCAAAAAATGAAACTGCTTTGTTTCATTGAAATACTTTGTGCTCAGTTTATGCGATTTTACAATTTGGGCCTACATCGCAAAAGTCTAAAATAACATTCCTGATTCGAAACCATGTCTTTTTCCATCTTTAATCCATGTGCCGGTATCTAAACGGAGGATTGGCTGATGATTGCTCACATCAACTCTTTCTCTCTAGAGGCCACAGCGACTGACTCAGAGCCCAAACCAGAGGAGGCACCTGGTGAGCAAACGCTGCGTCATTACGATTTACTCTTTTTACGTCACGGTGCACAAAACAGAACCGTATGAGCGCCATTGTTCTCAGATCCCGTCTCTGTTTGCGTTTCCAGCGCCCAGCGAGTGAAGCGCGACGTACCTGACCACACGGATGGGTTTGCTGGAAGAGGCGCTCCCCGTCCGTATGCATGAGTGGGAGCGCGAGTCGTGAGTGTTTGTGTGGACGAAAAACATGCCTTGTTGCCAAGATGCTGACCCTGATGATGACCTTTCACTCAGGGATCCTCTGTCACCATTGTGCCTTTTTCCCCTCCGCTTCTCGATGATGCACAATAACAGTTTTTACTGTACATAGACAGATATGTTCATTGGAGAGAAGTTTAGATAAATCGTTATAATCAATATTTATTATCTGTATAGAAATGTTTGACTTGGATTAGAACCTATCCAGATTTTTTTCTACAAACTATATTCTGACGAAAACCATAGTTTATTTTTACCAATTTAAATAATTACGGTGGCCTTCTTTAATTTGATGTACTATTGTTATTATGAAGGTCCTGGAGAAATAGATGCTGCCTTTGCTGAATTAAATCAGAATATTCCAACGTCTCATGACGATTGAAAGCCTGAAATTTGTTATAAGCTGTGAACTGTCACATAAATTAAAAGGGCAGTATGGAAAAAAATTATGTTTGTTTCTTTGAATCAACACATTATGACAATTGAGTTGGAATTACTACTTTATTTGTTGCTACTGTTAATAATTTCATGTGTAAAAATTGCAGCAAAGCAAAGAGACAAACCAAATCTGCTTTCAGATCATCTCAAACCAAACTGGAAAAATCTTGATCGGTGCCTTCAGCATCCTTTCCAGTGACCCGTTTTAAAGATTTCTCATCTTGCTCAGCCATTGAGGGTCCCAGCCGCTGTTTGGTTAAGAAACACAACGCTGCCTCTTCGGGAAAACCTGAAATAACGGGGCCCCTTGTTGCTTCGCTACAACTTGTTTGGGACGCGGTCGGCTAGTCAGGAGTCGGCGAGAGGGCCCAGGACGGCGATCGCCTCGATTTCCACCAGCGCACCCTGAGGAGACAAGACAAGGTTCCATGCATGCAAGCATTTCTGTAACATAAGAAACTGCTTTGAATTACACTAAATTTGATCAAATCTGCAGCTCAACTGATTTTTGTTGCCTTAGATCAGGAAACGCTCAGTTAATACGAAAAATCCTTTTGGAGCTAAGCTTTGCTGAAAAGATTTATTCTTGTTTAAATAAAATATCACACTTATCAAATAACTAAAAATATATGCATAATGTTGTAGCTGAGAATGCTTTTGTTGACATTAGCAACAAATAACACATTAGGATTAGTACTGCATAACAGGAACCAACAATTAAGGAACTGATTTGCATTATTCACCAAACAGGGTGACATTATATAACCTTTAAAAAGATCCTTTAAAATCCTAATGCCATTTGTCCACACAAAAGAAAAATGTAATCTTCCTAAAAACTGCTCAAAAATATTTTCAGATATTTTCCCCCACTGGAAACAAGTCGATCTTGTAAAGCAAAAAAATATTCACATCAATATAAAAATTCTGAGGGACTTTAACCCTTTGAAGTATATTTGCAAAGACTGCTTTTAATGAAAAAAAAATTATATACATATTAAAAAAATATACTATCATTTACATAAAATACTGTTTACATAGTTTTTGATTATTGTTGTAAGTCAATAAATGGGTCAATATTTGCTACAAACATTTTCTTGACTTATTTATTCATTTGTTGGTTTGAAACAATGTGAGTTTTTGTTGCTAGTTCGTTTTATGTTTTGCCAATTTGAGGAGCTGGCATGGTAAGTCTAAAAAAAAAATAAAGAAGTAAAAAACAAATCGCACAAAATTCTCTTAAAGACTAATATAACTTGTTCATGGAACAGATTGTTTCTTTAGACAGAGGTCTCAGTTGGGTATAAATTCATTCAACACTGGCAGAGGAAACAAACATTTTCTGTCATAATAACTACAAGCCTTGCAAATCTGAATCTTTACAGCTTCAATTAAAGTCCCTAAAGCTGCAAGAGAACTGTTGCAGAGCTTTTAATAAGCAACAGTTTGGTAACAAACCAAATGAAGAGGGTTTATAGACGGTTAATGCAGAGTGATTATCAAGCCCATTTGTATCCTTAAACGCAGTCATATTTAAAAATGAAGCAGACGAATCTGCAGGTTTGGATCGGTACTCACTCTGGGCAGGGCAGCAACCTGGTAGGCAGCTCTGGCAGGAAAATTAGTGCTGAAAACTGGAAGGAAGGAAGAAAACAAAGTTTAGAGCTGCTTAGTAAGGATGTTTTGTGTTTTGCTAAAAAAATGTATAAAGATCTTTTTAATAATAAATAAACTCAGCCACAAATAATCCCTACTTCAGCCTTTGGCTGCATTTGTTTCACTGTGAAGTCAGAGATTATCAGTTTGGCTCATGTGTGACACCAGATTAAGGCAGATAAACACATTCTTATGTTTCATGGGGCAGAGGGACTAAAATGTAAAAGGTCTCTCTATCTTTTTCAAAGGTCTTCTAAAGCTTTTCTGAGGATTTTGACCTACCTTTTACTTTATTATTTGTTTCCTGTTTAGTCCTAGCTAACATAAAGGTGAGGACAAAAATAGAAAGTGTCGCATTTTACATTAAGAGCGTTAATAAAATGATTCAAATCTGACTCGTTGAAAGCAAAAATATTGAGATCATGATTTGCGGTGAGGCCGGACGCTGCAGACCCAGAGACTCAACTGACACAGAATCCAAAATAAACACACAGAAAAAGTCAAATCCTTACAACTTTGACCAAATTAAAGGGCTCGTTTGGATTTGTGTTGGTTTGCTCCGGACCCGTCCTTTCTGCTTCCTCCCTGCAGAGTCAGGGAAAGTTTCCTGGTTTGCAGGGTTGAAGTGGATCTGCAGGGAGGCAGGAGCTCGTTGTCCTTGCTGGGAAAAGGTTGGGTTACATCAGCGTGTCTGTGGAGCGGTGTCCACTTACAACTCTGGCCTCAGCCGGTTCCATTACACCGGACCGTTGTAATCCAGGAGGAAAAGCCCAAACACTTCCACTGCACTGATACAGCAGAGGGAGAACGGAACGCCAGATTCTGAGTCGAGGGTCAGGGGTCACAGTCGATGGTTTGGCAGACCAACGTTGATGCCTTGCTGCAGGGAGGTCCGGGGTTCAATTCCCAGCTTATTATCTCTGTGCATGTTTCGTCTTCTACTTCCTCTCAAAGTTCTGCAAACTTTGTCACATTAGCTATGACTGTATGGATGGGATAATATCACGAATAATGTATTAATAATAAGAATGTATTATTTGGAGTGCTGCGAGATAAATTAATAGTTAAAATAATTACTTTCAAAAACGTGGTTAGACGTTAAATCCAAGTTTGTATTTTTATTATTAATAGCAGTATTTGAAAGTCATGGTTAATACCTAAAACAATTAATAAAATGCTGACCTTGTTCAGGTTTTACAAGACAGAGACATATATCATCATCAGTTCTCATTATTTTGGTTAATAGCGGCCCCTTGTGGTATATGTCTGGTACAACATGAGTCTCTAACAGCTGCAACGATAAATAAAAACGGAAATTTTTCATTTGGTTTCCCAACAATTATGTCTTCAGTTTTAAAATAAACAAAGCAATATAGGATTTTGTCACTCCAAACTCTTGATATGCAATAATGAGCCTCTGATTATTTTAAAGTGCTTTATAAATACACTCAAGATTTCTATGCATTGACTTGTTGGACATAATACTTTTAAAACTAGTAATTTTGTTTAGGTAATATTTAGGATATTTTACAGTTCATCCATAAAGCAATTCATGTTTGTGTTTTTATTGTGATCCTAGAATGTTATAAATCCAGCTTTTATTTGTAATACATGTTTTATTATATAGAACTGAACAAGAGCAGCAGTGAGATCAGTAGGAATTCCCCTCTTGGTTTACATTTGCATAATACACACACTTAAAGAAATCTTTTTGGAACTCAAAATGAAGACATACAGGGAAAAAAAACTGCTGGGGTTGATAAAGTGTTATTAAACACATTCGAATGGTTTATTTAATTGCAACTAAAGTTGTTATTAATTCACATGGAGTCGGGAGCTGCACAGGAGAATAAGTTACCGATGCTCTTTTTAGTTATTGAATGCTTACATGTCTTGTAGACGTCGTTGACGGAGTTGAAGTCGTTTATGTCCTTCAGCAGAACTGTGGTCTTCACAACTGACGCCAAACAATTTGGGAATTTGAGTTCAACGTTAAAAAAATCAAGTGATAAAAGTAAAAAGAAACAGATCGTGCAAAGTGTGCAGAGTCTCACCGTTACGGTAGTCGCAGCCTGCAGCTTTAAGGATTTCCCCCATGTTGCCCAGAGCCTGAGTCGAAAGGGAAGGGAGAGTAAATGGTCGAATCCGAGGTCTGGTGGAAAATGGCTTTCTGTTTGTGGGTCACCTGTTTGGTCTGAGCCTGCACTCCTCCATCCACCAGCTGACCGGAGGCCACGTCCATCCCGATCTGACCCGAGACGTACATGGTTCTGTCCACCACCACGGCCTGGCTGAGTGGGACACGCAAACACACAAACTATGGGAAGATGTCCACATTTCAGCAGACAAAGTAAGTTTGACAGTAGACCAATTTTGTTGCTTGGTGAGCATGTGTTTTTTTTTAAACTTATATAATAACTGATTCTTTAATGTGAAAATAAAATAATTCACAACAAACTGATATGACTAAATTAATGACGGATTTAGTGTGTGTTAGTCATGTCATTTAAAACAGTTGAATAAAGTTGTTACTACCGTCACTCACCACAAGGGGGCGCTTCCACCTCCCCAAACTAAGTCAAATAGTGAATGTACTAAAGAATTGCACGGATTATGTAGTTTGAACATTTCAATAATACAGTTCAGATTGATATTATATTTAGCGTCACTTTAACTTTAACACTTCCAGATTTGATCCTGATTAATGTGAGGACAGAAAACAAACCAAAAACACCTGATTTAATCTGAAACAGCTGATTGGCTAAAGTAGGAACACGCCCAGTTTATTCAAACGCACCGACAAAGCATTTGTTCAGTTTGCAACTTAAAACAAACAAACAAGCAAACAAACAAACAAAAAAAATCCGCATTGAATAAAAACAAAACAAAGTTGCATTTTCATTGAATTTCCCAGGCAAAGTGGGCAGCATCATCTCACCTATAAATGCCCTGCCTCACCGGGGCTTTCGCTGTGAAAATGATTTTCCGAGGAGTTGCTGCCATTTCCAGCAACTGTCTGCTCTCTTTCTCTGCAAAGTTACAAGCTCTTGCACCGCGGGGCAGCAGGTGAGTTCACTGGACAGGAAGTCCCGCCCCCGAGCAAACATGTGTCTTTTTTTTTTTTTTCACCCCCCACTAAGACTCAAACCTTCCAGATCCTGCAGCAACGACATGCAGCGGTGCAGTCTTCTTGATTTCTTGTTTTGAACTTCTCTTACCTGTACGGACCGATAGCAGCTGGAGCTGTGCTGGTGTGAACGATCTTTCTGTTGAGCGCAGACATGTTTCCCTCTCTCTTTTTTTTTTAGTGCAACTCAAGTGCTCTGGCTTGAACGAAGCGGCTGCGCAACAACTTTTGGGTACAATGGGGGAAAAAAAGTACCGTAAAACTCAGACTAACAGCGCAGCGAGGAAGTTTACGGCGGTGTAAAAGCATGCGTAAAAATGACATTGCGTCTATAGAACAACATTTACGGTAAAGACTGCCACATTTATGGAGGTCACAAAACCTCGGGATCAAAGTTCATTTACAATAATCACAGATAAAAAACCAGGGTTTGATAACTATATGTAACCTTTATTCATTATTACACGTTCTCAAAGTATTACATACAAAAAAAATAAATTAAAAAGGTTTAATGCTTACATTCCACTCTGCATCAAATCAAAAATAAAGCAGGAAAAAAAAAACGATGAACACAAACTTAAATGCATTTAATTTCACACAAGTGATGGGGGACAGCTGAGTCAGTTTCCTGTTTTAATTTAATTTTTTTAAAATGAAAACATAAATCATCTTCCGTATCATCTGTGCACTCACTAGAAAAGCACCCCTTTAAAAACCCAAACATGCATAGTCAAAAAGACAGCAAAACATCTGCTCAGTGGAAATTTCACCAGTTAAGATCACATTTAATAAACAATAATAAAAGATGGTAACACAGGAGAATCATATTCCTATGCAATTTATTGTGGCGCAGACTCCAGGCCCTAAAATTTAAAGGTGACAATTTACAAATGACTTAATTCTTGACAATTAGAAGGAAAACAATTGTGAAGCAGATATGTTTCACATGATACAGTACTGATCCTGTTCATACCGTCTGCTTATTCCAGATAAGTCAGTGAGACACAGTAACAGATCTGTTTATTCAAAGTAAACAGGCGATCCACATTCATATGTAACAGAAACCTGCAAAAAAAACCAAAAACATGTACAAGATATTAATACAGGGTTAGTTCATTCAGGGTCATTAACATGAAAAATAGAGAAAAAGGCAAATATATATTTTTTTAAAAAGACAGCTTCTTATTTAAGGGATCAAAGGTGTTAACAGTTTTCAAATCACCAGGTATGCTTGGATTTTTGATATCGCTTTGAGAGTTGAGCCTGAAAATGTCAAAATTCAGTTTAAATTTAATCAGTTACATATCACTGCAGCAGAGATCCAGTAGGGGAAAAAAAATAAATCACTTCATCACCGTTTGTGTCGTAGGAACTCGATAAGGTGAAGAAAATATCGTTGTATTGAGGCCATTAATATCAGAGGATTGGTTAAAATGAAATATTTGTTCTAGGTGTAATGAATTCATACTTTTGCATCCTGAAAGGCTATTAGCCTGATGGAGTGTCAGTGCAGCAGTTGCTCCCAGGTGACATAACCAGTTTATTACAATGTAATAGACTTGAGGGAATTGGACTGAAAACTATCAGGAAGAGAATGCAATTAATTGTAAATGATATTTGCATATTTTATTTTATTTGTTGATTCATTTATAAACTGAAAAGATTAGTTTTGATGCTGTTAATAAATTTATAATACATATTTATAAAAAAATCTGTTGATTCTGATCTCTAACGTTATTTTACCATCAATTTAGCTTTTAAAGTGTCACAACTCGTCACTGCGAGATGTTTTACAGATATAGAGTGAATGCATCGCTGCCCACCCGCTTGATAAAAGGACAATAACTTCTGCAGAGTTTGAGGATTATCAAATTTTTCTTAGTTTTTAAGCACAGCTAGTTTGTTACAGAAGGAAGCCGAATATGTGTGCGCCAACAAAATGTTTCAAAAAAAGAAAAAAAAAAAAAGAAAAGAGGATTTTACCCTAACACTGTATTCCTTCGACAAACAAAATGTAGCCATGCGCTACTGCTGCAGGGAAAATCTGAAAAATGAAACGAGAAATTAAGATGTAATCGTTGTAGTTAGATGTGATAGATCTGACGGCTTTGCTTTAGTTGATGCGTCTTAACCCCAATTTCTGAGACGAATCTGAAATCTAATAATTTAACAACTTCAAAAGATTTTTCAACAAATAGTTTTATTTTACAGTTTAGTCATCCTTCATCTGGATCAATTCGGAGAATAAAGTCTCCGACTTTGAATGCAGAACATCCCTGTGAACTAAGAGGACGATGTGTTTGACCGACGAGGCACTAAGATACATGAAGTCTGGTAAAGCAGACGGTGCAAAAACAAAAAAACAAAAAGCCAAACATGAAAACTAAAACAAACCCAAGAAGTTGATCATAAAGACTGATAAGTTTGACGTTCTGTGGTACGCAACCTGACCATGTCGTTTCCCTTACAGCTTCAATAGTTTCCTCCAAACCAGAATATGGTGCAAACGTCCCGTTACTTGGTGTCTTATTACATTGCTTGTTATTTTAAGGCATTCTCAAAGTCAGCATAATTCTGATTGTCTTTGGTCATAGTCGAGCCTCCACAGCATCTAATGGAGGTCATTTCCAAACTAGGCTCTGTGTTATATTTACATTAGAAGTAAAGAGTCTGAAGAAAAGAAAAGGAAAAAAAAAAAAAGCACTTCATTAAATCTGCTCTTGCTGCAGGACTGACTTCATTATGTGCTGATGCTGACTCCAAGCCTAACAGTTCACTGAGAAAAGAGGAAATTCCTTTTTAAGATGGCCTCGGGGTCACTTCTCTATTTTTTGCCCACAGTCCTGATCAGCGTTTACCAGAAAACAGCTTCACAGCAATTGCAGAGAAACAGACGTAATCCAGGGAAAAACAAACAAACAAACAAACAAAAAGCATCTAACTTCATTCAGAGGCCAGTTAGCAGTTTGTCGGACATTAGAGAGGATCTAAGTAAGAACAACATGGTGGTCTTTGTTCTCCTGCTGGGACAGAAGTTTGCTGCTGGCTTTTGGAAGGGGAGGAAGGATTGGGAGAGCCCTCAAAAGTTCTGTTGTCTTCGCTTCTTAGCATCCATTGCATCCAGGATGGGTTGCCGCTTGGCGGTGTAGCGCTGCCGCAGCTCCTCGATCTCCCGCTCCATCATGGGATCCAAGGCAGTGAGGCGCAACTGCAGCTCCTCAAAGTCCAGGTTCTTCAACTGAAGACGCACACAAAAAAAAAAAAGTTATTGGAAGGAAATCAGATATTTAGAAGAAGGTGGTCAGATACAAAGGTTCACAAAACTTTGACTGGATAGACAGGCAAATGGGGAGATCCGATTGAAGAATAGTCAAACCTTGAAGGAAGGCAAGGTTAACAATGGACAGACAGACTGAAAGAAATTGTTTGAAAACCACAGCCAGGACACTCACAAAGTCAAAGTCTCCATCCTGAGGGACCTTCCAGTTATCAGGAAAGACATTTCTGGACTGGATGTGGTAGCCGGGCTGTTCTGGCGGCTGATTGCGGTTGTAGATTTCCTGCTGCTGAGCCGCCTTGTTGGAGGCCTGCTTGTCAAAGTAGTCCATGAAGGAAGGACGTATGGGCTGCTGGGGAGTAGCATTCCCTGTGAATGAAGAAGAGGCTCTAGTGAACGTCTCAGGAAAAACAAAAAATAAAATCTCAGAAAAGCTGATGATCAAGTTCAAAATATGGTTGTTTTTTAAGCTTCATCTTAAGTTTGCTTGCATTGTCCTCAGATCACACATTACAGGCTGTCTAAGCAGTTCAGCTTTTTCAATTAATAAAAAACTGTTGACAGCTAGTCAGAAGGATCATCTAGGATCACTAGATCTATTCAAGCTATGAGTTATGATTATACAAAGCGAAAATCAAGGCAGTCAGTAAAAAAAACAAATAATTCCTTGTAAGTTGTGGAAACAGTTCGAAATCACCAGAACATGTAAGGACTTTTAAATGAAATAAGATAATTTGAGACTCATTGGAAATTTTGACAAAGCCATGTGACCAGCAATCAGTAAAGTTATGGCATACTTTAAACGGTTAAACTGGGACCATGACATAACTAGAGCTGTGCACAAACACAGATATTTGTAAAACTGTAATAACCCTAAGCTTATTAGGCCAAAAGCAGATGGAAAAAACCCCCAAATGTAAGCTAAACCTCAGAGCTACTTAATGAAGCTCAGGGGAAAAGAAGAAAAAAAAGACTGGCGTCAGAGGGGGACGTGTTTGTTGCATCAACAAACACAAGCAGAGTTTATATGGCCATGAATGAAGCTTTGATGTCATCTTATTGAAGTATTGCTCATAAATAAGTTTAGCAAAGGCATAGATTTAATACATCTACTTTTCACAAAGCGGTGAATTGTGAAGCCGAAGAAAAATGTTACATGATTTTCGAAATACTTCAAACGTACAAAACGGTGGAGAAACTTTTTTTTTCCATCTGCTTCTTTTTCTCCACCACCAACAATAAAATCCAGCCCAACCAAGTGAATAAAAAAATAAAATAAAATCTAATTGGTAAATGGAGTCACGCGTCTAATTTAATCTCAGTACAGGGTTTCACCAACTCAAATTTCAGACTTTTAAAGACCATTAAAGACCTTTGTCTCCACAGAAATGTACAAACTTTGTCCAACTGGCAATACATTTTTCTTCCATGATAGATGCAAAAAGGTAGCTAAAACATTAGCAGCTAGTTAGCGGAGCCTCAACCGACTCAAGTCACAGAACGCAATGAAGATGTCTGAGTGCAACTCAAACTTTTGCCTGACAGAAAAACATAATACAGAGACGTGACTAAATAGTCCTGTCGGGATCAAATGTATGGCCTCAGAATGACATTAAAGGCCAGCTTATGTTTTTAATGAATTTAAGACAAAAGTTTGGACATATAAATGTAAGATTTTATAAGGATGTGTGAACAGTCTGCAGTATGAATCCAGCTGCTCTGTGAAGGCCTCAGAGACCATCAATTACAGAAAATTTGTGTAAAAACAGCAAAGAAAGAAACGGCAGATAGATGGAAACCTACAGCAAAGCAGATTCAAATGCTGGAATGACAAATCAAAGACATAAATCCTAAGAAGAATGTGAAAACTGATGATCAGAAACTCTCCAGCCAATCTGACTGAACTCAAGTTATTTACAAAGCAAAATGGGTCAATATTTCCATCCTCTGATGTGCAGAGCTTGTAGAAACAAAACCTGCAGCTGTAATTGTAATACAGGTTGGATTTACAAAGTCTTGACTCGGGATGTAATTCAATTCAACTGCAAACCACATTTCTTTAGTCTGTGATGAGAAAAAGTTCAAGAGGTTCTTTACTTACCCCTTAGTTTTGCAAAGCATCAGACACGATTCTTTTAATACCCACAAAGACAAAACCTAACCACCAACAGAACCCACAACGAACATCGTCTCAATCTGGCTTCTAAAACGGTTCTGGAGAATAAAATGTTTTCAATCGTCTTTTGGTCTTACTTCTCATTGAACCTTGGTCTTCCTCCTCCTCTTCGTCGTCACTATTGATGACCATGGTGCCGAGGTCAGACTCCAGCGTGGTGCTGCCATGTTCAATCATGGTTTGGGCCCCGTCGCTCATAGTGCTGGAGGCTCGCATGGTCCCACCCCCTTCAGAGCCTGACTTCACCATGGTGTGGGAGTCCACCTCTGTCTCTTCCTCCTACGAGGAGAGAAAAGAAAAATGAACATAATGAGCCATCTGCTGGATTATCATTTCCCTGGAAATGAAATATCATCTCAGCCAGACTCATACAGAGTTATCCTCCTCCTCCAGCTCTCTCTGCTGCTCCTGCTGCCTCTTGGCTTTCATCTCCATGGCCTCTGCTATCATATCTCTGAGGATCGTCACAGGTTTGGCTTGGCTGATGAACGGATGCTGTGAAACAAGAAAAGTCTTACTTTGAAGTCTATAAATATGTCCAGATCAGTTTGTACGCGAGATATTCATATCCATGAGTGTGGCATTTTGTTATTTTGCTCCAACCTGTAGAAGCTTTGTTGCTGTTGCTCTATGCTCCGGGTTTTTGACCAAGCACTTTTTGACAAAGTCTGTGAATTCTTTTGTCCAATGCTCCGACTTCCTGAACGTAGGAGGAGGGTTGGTGGGGATCATGAAGATAGCCTGAAGGAAAGACGGAGGGTCGCAGAGGGGAACAAAGAATTACAGCTGATGGCAAGCGCCAGCTTATAAAAAAAGAAAAAAAAAGACCTAAACTGTGGACTTACCCTCATTGGGTGGATGTCAGCATAAGGAGGCTTCCCCTCTGCCATTTCTATAGAAGTGATGCCCAAAGACCAGATGTCTGCTACGCAGTTGTAGCCGATCTCCTGGATCACTTCTGGAGCCATCCAGAATGGAGTACCAATCACAGTGTTTCTTTTCGCCATGGTGTCCTTTACAAGGAAAAGATAAAGAGTGTTACTTCAATTCACATGATTAAAAAGCAGCAAAAGACCTAAAGATCAAAATGAATGATTTAACACATTCTAAGTAAAACTACAATGGTAGTCACCTTTGAACCGAGTATAAACTATCTACAGTTAAGTGTTTTTACTTCATTTTCATGAATAAAAACCAGAAATGGTCTAAAAGACTCAAGTCCATGTTATGACACATTTTAAAGAAAAATACAATGGAGGCTACCTTTAAAACATAAGTTTAAAATAATGCAAGTCTTTAATAATTCACCTACAGACAGTACTTACAGTTAGGTGTTCATAACACAAAGTGTCATATTTTAAGAAACAAAATAAAGCGGGCCATAACTGAGAAAGGATTGCAATTTTAATGTGAAAAGTTTGATGTTTGACCCACAAATCTTCTACTCTGTATGCAGGCACAGCAGGGTCATACTGACTTCATGTGCGTTTTTACAAGTTTTTTTTTTTTAATTTGATGTGGTTTTGGGAATTGACGGTCTGACAGGATAAGTCCCCCGTCACCCCCCTTCGATCTTCTACTGCGCTCCTCCTGAGTGTCACGCTAAAACCGCAGGAAGAAGGTTAAAGTGCCTTGGAACTGCTTTCCTGCAGTTAATGAATCTCTTTCAGTTGGTTTATTTTACCGTCAACTGTCCTGCAACTCCAAAGTCAGCCAGTTTGGCGTGACCCTCCGTGTTGAGAAGGATGTTTCCTGCCTTAATGTCACGATGGATCTTTCTCATAAAATGAAGGTACTCCAGACCCTTTAGAGTTGACCTTAGGATAGTGGCAATCTCATCTTCTGTCAGCTGGTGTAAGAGAAAACAAAGACAATAGCAGGATGAAATAAACACAAACAACCATTAAAGAGACACATCTGTGACAGATAATTATAAATGAGATTAAATGTGATGATGGTGTGTCGGTTAATAACTGACACATTTGTTAAAATGCCTTTAAAACACAAAAGGTGAACTACATAAACTGTAATGTGGGTTAACTGTACAGACAAAGTTATAACACACAGTTTTGTTTCGCAGCCTGATGATGTCTGAAACAGATCCAGCTCCACAGTACTCCATGACGATCCACAGGTCCGTGTTCTTGAAGTAACTTCCATAATATTTTACAACAAAAGGGCTGCAAGGAGAAATAAAAATGCGGTCAAAAACAAAAGCTTCACTTTGAACAGAGAGAGCATTAGTTACAGAAATAGCAACCCAAATTAAAAACCCAAAGAACCCAAAGTCAGCAGCTAAGACTTTGTGTACAATACTGATTTGTTTCAGCTACAGTTTGGGTAACTTTTAGTAAAGCAATGTGGGAGCCCAACCTATCACACTGCTGCATGATTGAGATCTCCTTGATGATTTCCTGTAGATCGGACTCCACTGGAACCTGCTTGATGGCCACCACCTGCCCCGACTCTTTATGGATGGCCTTAAACACGCTGCCATAGGAGCTAAACACACGCAGGTTACAGGAAACATTTCATAAGGGAAACTACCAACAGCAAGTCGTTAAAGAGTGGAAAGGAGAACACTTCTTACCCTTCGCCAAGTTTCTCCAGAACGTCAAACACTTCCTCTGGCTGTTTGGTCAAACTGTCCTCACTCAGCTTTTTCAGCTTACTGCAAAATGAAACAAGTCATCTAATGACTTCAGTGATGCTGATAACATCTACTTCAACAATGACAAATCCAAAGTGTTTGGGTTGATGCAATATGATAATGATGACACTTCAAAAATGTGCATCGTTATTTATGGATTTTACTTCTTCAATGGGAAAAACTGTAACTGACAAGATAGAGATAGTATTGGTTAACAGTCGGGGTAATAATAATAATGTCATAAAAGTCTAAACAAGAAGATGGAACCTTTTTAACGCAACACATAAAACACAACAGACTTTGGTTTCCTCAGCGTCAATCACGTATCGTGACATTTCAAATATTTGATTGCGATTCGATAATTTGCTTTTCTCGGATAAAAAAAAGATAATTAAAATCATTTAAAAGACCATAACCTCAATTGTAACTCAAACAAACATTAAACGGATATCATATTAACATTTGTAATGAGGCGTCCGTGATTCATTTCTGATCTTTTTGTCGATATTTTGAGTCGAAACTTTAAAATCAAACTGAGGCTAACTGAGTTAGCTTAGCATAAGCTAGCCGAGCTACCAAGTACATTAGCAAGTCTTAACAGCTTTAAATGACGGCTTCGGATATGCCCACAAACCTTTTCGGCGCTGACGGGTCCATGACGCTCACCATTAAAAACAAAAGAACAACAAAAATATGAACTTATGATGTCGGCTAAGTCAGGAGCAGAAAAGATACGGACATCGTCCGCAAACTAGCCCGTTTGTCATAAACTAGTGGAGGGCCAGCTGAGGGGGAGCTCCTCAAACGATGGATACTCAAAGGCACCACACCGTCCCCTTTCGGAAAGGAATGCAATGACAGAATGAGCCGAGGATACTTGGAAAACGCTGATAATAACCAAGTTATCACAATTAAAACCCTAAGTGTGTTACCTACCTGTGGCAATAATTCATCTAGAAAAAAAAAAGTATACAAGAACGTTACATGTCAACCGCAAACCCTGAAGAAACCATACCTTTTAGCCCTTTTTAAGAAACGTTAAATTACTTTGTTTCTTGTCATTAGAAAGCTATAATAAAAAAGCAGATTTTTAGTAATTCTTCAGTTTTTTTCCCTCCCAAATTATACCGAGTTTCCACAGCGAATTGATATTAAAAAGTATGAGAAATATTTTTAAATCCATTTGACGTCATTTGTTTGAAAATTATTTTCTTTTTGCATTACAAAGACTTAACACATTACATTTAGAAGCACATGTTACACCGGTAAGATTTATACATTTATTAATCATTTTTAAACACGTCCTCGTCCAGCTGGTGGCGCTAATGTGCCTCTAAAATAGTTTGCCGTAAAAGGCAAAGAAGAAAACCGGAAACTGCTTCGACGTCATTCGTGCGCATGGAGATATAAAAGTAGTGGTAAACAGCTAGCATATAGAAAGGTAAACAGGGACTTTTTGTTATCACGAGGCCTTTCTTTTGTCTGTTATAGACGCACTTTGTTATAATTGCGTCAGTAAAAGCATGTAAATAATTGTGTTTACTTATGCTGATAGATTTACACTGGCCCTATAGGTAGCACCATGCTGTTTCTGTTAGCATGCTGTACTGAAATCAGTTGGTATGTGGCGATATTAGCAAGTTTCCTTCCTTTTTTTGCAGGATAAAATGGACGCACAGAAAGATCTACAGCCGCCCAAACAACAACCGATGATCTACATCTGTGGAGGTAATCAGCTATCGCTTCGGAAAAACATGTTTTAGAGGTGGCTAGCTAAGCTATTACAGAATATAAACGCCGTTTATTTATATACAGAAAATAGTTATGCGGCACATGTACATCTGAGAAGTTAAATGTTTTGTTTTTTTAATCACTCGCTTCTCAAAGTGAATTTACGCTTTCGTCACACACAGAGTAAAAATATGTCAGGCATTTTGTCTTTTAGTCTGAGGATTATGACGTACCGAGCAATGGTTGGTGCAGGCCGTTGTTCCACATCTACTGAATATGCCACCATTGTGTACGGAGGATAAATGGTTGATATAGACGGTTGTTCCACATCTTCTGAATATTCCACCTTTCTGTACGGAGGATAAATGGTTGATGCAGACGGTTGTTCCTCATCTACTGAATATTCCACCATTCTGTACGGAGGATAAATGGTTGGTGCAGGCGGTTGTTCCACATCTACTGAATATTCCACCTTTCTGTACGGAGGATAAATGGTTGTTGCAGACGGTTGTTCCACAACTACTGAATATTCCACCTTTCTGTACGGAGGATAAATGGTTGATGCAGACGGTTGTTCCTCATCTACTGAATATTCCACCATTCTGTACGGAGGATCAATGGTTGGTGCAGGCGGTTGTTCCACATATTCTACTGAATATTCCACCATTCTGTACGGAGGATAAATGGTTGATGCAGACGGTTGTTCCTCATCTACTGAAGATTCCACCATTCTGTACGGAGGATCAATGGTTGTTGCAGACGGTTGTTCCTCATCTACTGAAGATTCCACCATTCTGTACGGAGGATCAATGGTTGGTGCAGGCGGTTGTTCCACATATTCTACTGAATATTCCACCATTGTGTACGGAGGATAAATGGTTGTTGCAGACGGTTGTTCCTCATCTACTGAAGATTCCACCATTCTGTAAGGAGGATCAATGGTTGGTGCAGGCGGTTGTTCCTCATCTACTGAAGATTCCACCATTCTGTAAGGAGGATCAATGGTTGGTGCAGGCGGTTGTTCCTCATCTACTGAAGATTCCTCCATTCTGGCCAGTCAAGTCCCTCCGCTCCAAATCCACTCATTCAGGGTTTATTGAGGTGCTTGATTATGTTCTGGTGTGTCTAATTGGAGCAGAAATGGGCCCGCCCCCAATTTGTTTCCTCAAAATCAGAAGTTTTACAATATTTTTGGGATTCTTGATTATTGGAAGGTCCTTTCACTTAAACGCAGGGGTAAAGCCAAATGTACAGAATCGTACATCTCTAGTGAAAAGCATGATCTCTTTTTTAAAGGAATTTATCAATCAGCGGTACATCCATATTATTTTCAGTTTCAGTGTTTGCGATTTAGATTTTTTTCAAGTTGTCATCAGAACTTGAAATGTCTAATTACCTACTTGAACTTTTTGAGTGACTGTTGCAGACACATGATTAACTTTTGTTTAATTGCAGCAGTGTGTTAAATAAATGTGTCTAAAATTGTCTTAAATCTCAGTGTCTGAATCTGAAATGTTATCTCTTCAAGGTTTAATGATTTTTTAAAAGTTATTTATATTAGCTTCAATTAGCTTTAAAATAGTCAGTTGAGTCTGTAATGATAATTGATGTTTTTATAATGGTGCCATGCCTCTGATCATGCTGGAGGAGCCGATCTGACTCTTTCTTTCTGTCTTTATTTGTTTTTTGCAGAATGTCACACTGAGAATGAAATTAAAGCTCGTGATCCCATCAGATGCAGAGAGTGTGGCTACAGGATCATGTACAAGAAGAGAACAAAGAGATGTATCCTTTTCCCCGAGTGTTTGTGTGGGGGACAGAGCCGTAAGATGTCTCTAACTTTATGTTAAAATTACATGTGTAAATTCACTGCTACTCTTTCTGCACATTTCCTCAATTCTCTAAACCCAGTGGTTGTATTTGATGCCCGGTGAAGAGGAGAAGACAGATTTGACTTTTGTTGTTTTTCACCGTTTTTTGTAGTGCATCACCATGTAAATAAACAGTTTCTGAAGCCTGGCATCTGCTATTCCTTTTTTCTTTTTTTTTTTTTTTTTAATAATTTTCTTTTGTTTTATCTTTTCAATTAATTTTACAAAGGAGTAATGTGTGAAAATTGTATCTTTTTTTATTCAGAAATGGATAAAAATTGCTTTCTCACTGTTGTTCACTGTGTAAAATATAAAAGAACACAACTCCTGTTCTCTCTGTACTTCTTGAGTTATTGCAGGAAGTAAAGTTTTCGCAGGGCTTTCTGCGCTACAGTGTGCACCTCCAAAAAGTTTTGAAAAGGGTTGTCTGGATTGTGTCTACTGATAATCCAGAAGTATCATATCAGGATTGTCAATTTATTTATTGTCAGCCTCTGCTTACAACTGGGGTGGACTTTCAGAAGAGCGACACAATGAAAAACAAAATTGGATTGTTTTTAGTAATGCAGATGCACAGCTAGCTAAAGCACATTATTTAAACTATAAAAAAAATATCTGGCAGTAGTTGACGGTTGACTGATTGTGCTTTGATGGGAAATTAAAGGAAACTTTTGGGGTGCTTTAAATGCTAAAGAATGCGAGTTTTGTTTGACCATTTCTAATTAAAATCTTGGATGTTTAATTGATCTAGCTTTACTACGTTGTTTTATGCGAAGCAAACTTTCTTGAAAACACAATTTGACATGTGCTGTTGTGGCATCATCTAATCGACTTTGTGTGGCATTTCTAATTAATTTAGACTAAAATCTTTGCTTGCTAAATGAGTGTTGACAGGGGGGGGAGGAGGCAGTGGTCCCTCTTTCATGCTAGCACCGCCCCTGCCTTCAGCCTGCTGCGGCATCTCTGCACCGCTGAGACTCCCCCCCGCCACCACCCACTCTGACGTCACTGCTGACGCCTCCGATTGGAGGTGTGTCCAGCAGAAATCCCCCCGCCTGCCAGTCCACAGATGTAGCTGCAGCTCTGAGGGAGACCGAGAAGCAGGGAGGGAAGAAGAGTTTGGACGCACTGCGGAGGGGAGTGCAGCCATGGGGAACGCGCAGGAGAAACCCTCCGGCAGCGGCGGAGGAGGAGGAGGGACGCCGAGGCGGGACAACCCGCGGACTCACGGAGCGACGGGAAAGGAGGTCGCCAACGGCGCTCCGAGAGAAAACAGCCCGGCAGGTGGGGAAGAGGAGCCGGAGCAGCAGCCGGGCAGTTCCGGGGTGGATAGGAGTTACCTGGATGCTCCGGCCGGAGCTTTGCCTCCTCACCTGGCCCGGCTGAAGAATGAGGGGAACTACCTCTTTAAAAACGGCCAGTTTGGAGACGCGCTGGAGAAGTACACCCAGGCTATAGATGGATGCTCTGAGGCAGGTGAGAAACAGTTCAAATCAACCCAGAACTAAAAAAAACAACCTCTTCAGCACCTTGATAAATTGTCATAATTAAGTTTTAATACCCCCAACCGTTTAAACTGACAACTCAAATATTTGGGGTGTTTCTGACATTTTTCTGACAAAACTAAATATATTTCTTCCTTTAATAGAAGTCTATTTCTCTGTCTTGTTTCTTGCAACTATAAGTAGCAGCTGGATGGCTCACTAAATTGATGGAGACATCTTTTTACCTCCCAACGGCAATAACATTAGAGTTGGCTCTGAATGTAATTTGGCTTCATAGTTTACTCCATAAAACAGCAGCTTTGTATTATGACACTGCCTATTATAACTATGGCCCCCTCTGGCATTCAAATACAGAGTAAATATGACTCTGGGCTCACCTGTCAGACGTCATGTGTCCCAGGTGACTCGTGTATGCAGATGTCATGTTAATTTATTTCAATAAACATCTTCAGAAAATCGTGGAGTTCATTTACCCCAGTACCTCTTAGTGCAATCCAGTTTGTGAATGCCTTTCCCATTGTGAAACACGGTGGTGGCATCATAATGCTGTGTGGGATGCCTTTTTTTTTGACAGATAAGTAAGCTCGTCAGAGTCGATTGGAAGATGGATGGAGAAGCTTGCGTAGAAGAAGCCCTGTTGGAGAGCATATCAAATCGTGCTCTTATTTTAAAACGGTCTAGCCAAAGTCCAGACCTACGTCCAACTGAGATTCAGGGGCAGAAGGTGGCCATTGCTGCCTCCTTCCAATTTTGCAAAGTTTGAGTTACTCTGAAAGGAAAATTAGTTGCAACATTGCTAGTAACAAACCTCTAATGACGCAGTAACGGTAAAGTTTTGTTCTGAAGGGGATTTAGCAAGAATGCATGGCACACTTTTTGAATCATTCTTAAAAATGTAGAAACCATTTAAGAGCACAAACCGTATCTCTGTGACTTTGCATCTACATCATTTCAAGAGGGTTTTAAAAAAGTGAAATTGACATAACGGCCCCATTAGCTGGCACTTAGAGGAAAACACTAACAGTAAAAGTTTATTGTTTCCTGAAATACAAAATCTCATTCGTTTTGTGTGCAAAGGTAGTATTAGAAAAAGTCTTGTTCTGCTTCCTGCCAAGAAACTCTGAGAAAATTAAGGAATCACTTCAGGTTTGTCAGATGAGTTATTTTTACTCTTCTCCTTGCAGGCATTGACAGTCCAGAAGATCTGAGTATCCTCTACTCCAACAGAGCTGCCTGCCACCTGAAGGACGGAAACAGCAGCGACTGCATTCAAGACTGCAACAAGTGTGTGACCAAATCCTCTGTTATGATTAGAGGATAGTTTAACTCAATACAATTTTGCTCATCAGACAAATTTAGGGAGTAACAATTAATTTTTACAGTGTTGTGAAACAAATTTCTTCTGGGTTTTTAAAAAAAAAAACTTTTGCATGCACTCAGTGTTTCATATTGTTAAAAACATTTTCAAAATCAGACAAAGACAACAGCACATTTTTACAGCACATTTCAAGACATAAAATCACAAAGTGTTGTGCAACACGCACAATGACGACATGAAAAAAGCTTCTTTTAATATAAGAAGTTGCAACAAATTTACCCAAAAACCTGGTGAGATGCTTAAAGAAACATATCATTGATTATAATCGGCATAGATGTGATGAGAAATGCCAGTAAAAGAGTTCAAAATATACAACAGATGTTGCATGTAATACAAAAACAATGAGGGCCCAAATACAGAATTGTGAGGTATAAAATAGGAGAAAGGGGATAGTAGATGGAGCTACAAAGATAAAATTGATTCACAGTCTAAATCTTTAAAATGACAAATTAAGAGATGATCAGGTCATTACTTTCAAACTAAACTGTCAAATTTTAACAGTATCTAACCTAAAAAAAATCCCTATTTTATAATGTAAGATGAGAATCTTGGTTCTTTCTGGATTATTTGGTTTACATGTTTGTTTGTGGATCGATGGATGATTTTGTATTCAATTCTTATGTGTTTTTAGTTCATCCCCTTCTCTTCGTTTAGTTTCGGCGCATACATCTTTTACTGAATGTCACTGCAAAAGTCTGGATTTAATTAACAAAATTACAACCTGAGATTTGTTTGAATTTATACTCCATCTCAATCATGTTGTTTCTGCTGCATTCTGGAGGCAAAGTGTCAAAATTTGGGTTAGATTCCACATAATTTACTTCATGGTGAATTTATTTGGTTTCTCCTGAATGAAACTAGCTTCAGGTTGCACCTTTGACACAGACACACTGACACACACAGCGAAGGACGCGGCTTGATCCGGTCTGTGCATTTCCCTGATCTTCTTAGGGCCTTAGAGCTGCAGCCCTTCTCCTTGAAGCCGCTGCTGCGCAGAGCCATGGCCCATGAGTCACTGGAGCGCTACAGGAAGGCCTACGCGGATTACAAGACGGTGCTGCAGATCGACACCGGCGTGCAGGCGGCTCATGACAGCGTCCACAGGTTGGATCAGCACAGACGCAAAAAACATTTCTGACTCGGTCAAGTTTTGGAGTCTTGACCGACTCGGAAATTAATGAATGTATTTTTCAGTGTTTTATGACTTTTATTCAGTGGATTAAAGAAAATCTAATTGACTTTTGATGTAACGTATGGGCTTTGCTTTGGAGTGGAGTCTGTTTACATCTCTGACCTGATAGTGAGGTGACATAGCACAACTTCAGTGGCAGGTTTATGACAATCCTGTCTACTGTTACTAACTTTAACTTTGTAGATGTGAGATAATTGTTTGCTTTTAGTTTCCTGCAGCATTGCTTTGCATTCTGGGTAGTAAGGCTGTATTTCTACTATATTTCAAAGTTGTTCAGTTCTTTATGCAAAACTGATGCTGCTTCTTTAATATGATGTCCCAGCTCACCTTAAAAAAACGTTTATTGTTTTATTGGGATGTCGAGTGAAAAACTGTCATTTTCTTCATTTTGGAAAACAAAGTCCTCTGAGTTAGATCCACTGTTGAAATTATCTTGAAATTAATGTCAAACAATATTGAAATTCTTCTATATTCATAGGAGAAAATAGAGATTTGGAACTGTTTAGTTTATATAAAAGTTGATTTGTGTTTTTACCTGAATTTTTAATGTGAAGCTGTTGCTTTTTAAAAGTTCTGTTGGTTTTGTTGCACTGTCTGAGGACAGTTCACTCCACATTGACTGATTTATAGTAAATCTTTACAAGCTGTTAACCTCCCTGAAGCGCTTAATGAAGTCCAAAGAAGCAGCTCTACGTGTTTCAAATGACAAATAGCCGCCATTTAGTTTTATTTAGACAATTTTTGCAGCGATCAAACGTCGTCGTCTCCTCCCTCCACTAAGCTACGCCTTTCATCACTGCTGAGCGAACAAAACCCCGCAGTGGTTCCAGTGTTTGCCTACTAAGGGAAAACACTTATGTCGGGTTGCCCTCCTTGTTATCTGCCAGGATCACGAAGGTGCTGATCGAGCAGGACGGGCCTGAATGGAGAGAAAAGCTTCCAGAGATTCCTGTCGTCCCGCTGGCCGTCCAGCAGCAGCACAGAGAGAAACCAGTCAGCGTCGAGGTGGCGCAGGTGCGAGCCGCCAGGGCCGCGCAGGAGGAAGGTTGGCTACATCACTTCATCCCTGCCTGAAACTTACAGCTGATGTGTTTCTATGATCAGCCCTTAACTGACCTCTGTTAAATTCACCCGGAGAAAAATAGAATAAGAAAGTAGTGGTGAAGGAGACTGAAAATGACATTAGAATGTGCCATTAGGAAGCAGAATTCACAAAGAACGAGTGTGTAAAAGCAGAGTAGGACTGCAGGTGCTTCAGCTGACAGTGTGTGTGTGTGTGTGTGTTTAGAGTCGTATCAATAATGCAGAGAGAAGCCGATCCGTGCAGACCGTAGTGCTGCTGTAATGGAACAATCCAGGTCGGGTTTCCTCCGGGTTCAGGCTCTTCAAACAGTCCAGACGGCTCCACTCAGAGGCTGCATGAAAACGCATTTCAATACATCGTGTGTGCCTCTAGCAGAACTTGTACATACATGGGAATCACTTGTTTTTTTTGTGCCGAATAAGAAAATAAAACTAAATCCTAACTGGAGAAAGTCCCTGAGCGACACAGACAGATGATTTCATGATCAGTTAATGAGTTTCCTTCGCAGAACAGCTGCTGCTCTTCCTGGGGAATCGCTTTACTTTTCAGGCTTCAGCAAAGTCTTGAATTGCCCTCCCAAGGAGCAGGACTTTCTTGTACAGTTTTAAAATTGTCTAGACTGGTGTTTCTCAAATTTTTTTGTGAACTCTCAGGTTCCATATCTGGTTTTTGCTGGATTTCTTTGCTTTTGTACTCAACACACAACTTTCAGATATTACTTATCTACTGTAAATATGTTTGTTAGACCACACACTTTTCTCCTGTAGCTGTTTACTTTTCTCATTATAAGCAAAAACGTCACGACATGCTGTCATGGCCTGGTGCAAGGTTATAAGGCAAATGAATAAGCCTATAAAACATGTTAAAATATTGGTACAATATCTAATTTGAATGCTCAAATATAGAAAACTATAGAAGCCAGTAAAGTACAACTTACGATATTGGAGAATCACTTTATTAGCGACTCACAAAACCTACTTCTATAGCACTGATGATATATTTATTAAAGGATTTTCACCTTTCAAATGTTCAAAATGGACGGTAAAAACATTCTGTGGAAATGTTTGCAAAGAAATTAATAAAAAGGCCTAAACTGATTTAAATAGCCTTCCAACTCTTGATGGTTGAACATAATATTTCACGAAGGTTGACAAGTCGTGGTTTTCTTTTGCGGAAACGAATGTGGAATTATGTTTGATAAACTTTGCAAATAAGTTTCATCCCACGAGGCTGTGGATGTTTTAGTGGCTGCGTTGGGGCGTTTTCATTAGTTAGTCATTAGTTGCAGAGGCTTTCTCAGCACAGCAGACCGCTAGCTCAGGAGGAATCGACTCATCTGCTCCGCTTCATTTATTGGTAAGCCCTGAAAAAAAATCTCGACAGGCTTTTTAAGTGAAATCCATTAAACGCAGTCGTCTCCCGAAGCGTCTTTCAGTTGAAAAACCGACTCTTCATGAAACGTAGCTCTGTATTATCAGTAGTAGGAGTATTGACTTTTATGTGCTTAGTTCGTATTGGGAAGTTTTGCTGAATTTTCTGTTTCTTTTTTCTCTGCAGCCAGAAGAAAAGAGGCTCGCTTTACTTTACTCAAACACGAAGGCAACAGCCTGGTGAAGAAGGGCCTCTTCCAGGAGGCTCTGGAGAAATACACAGAGTGTCTCTCAGTGAAACCTGATGAATGTGCTGTTTACACAAACAGGTTGGTCTAAAACAACGGAAACAGTCATGTTTCATGTCATAAAGAGTATTTTAGTGATGCAAGTACAGCTTGATATGCTGAGGACACAAATTTGGTCACAGAGCCAACATGAGCACAAATAGGATTATCATTTTAGACTTTTATTGATTTATTTGAACAGTTATTTTTTCTAGGGTGCTTTGGCATAAAACGTAATTTCATTTACTGTATATTTTCTATAATATGTCCACAGAACATTTCATGCTCTGTGGATGAAAATGTTCAAAATGAACATTTTCATCCACAGAGCTACTTTTTGTGCAGATTATACTTCTGTTTTCTTCAGGCCCCATTCCAGAAGCCTGGTTTATTTTTGTGCTTTAACCATTTTGCTGTTAAATAAAGATGAGTTTCAAGTTGAAAAGTTTGTAACTGTTTTTGGTCAAAGCTACACAGCATAAAGTTTCTGGGATGACTTCATCTGTTTAATACTAAAAGAACTATTCAGAAACATGAAAAGTCCAAAGTTAAGCTAATATTCATGCCCAGGATGAGTGAACATAAACATCTGATAGAACTGTATCAATATTGCTTTGATTTAAGATAGAAATGCCACACAAAGGCTTTTTTTAGGACAGTGGATGTTCTCCAATGATTAGATGGAGCTAATTTTTCTAGGATTTTCCTCTTCAGGAACTTTATTGTAAGACAAACAGCAGAGGGCACCATATTTGTACAAGACAAGATCAGATACACATCAAGGGTGCCAGTACTAGCATCATAAACCTGCAGCCCTTCAGACGAATTGAGCAATAGTTACATCTAATCTTTAAAGAAACAAACAAAACAAAAACCTATGATTATTTAATATTCTTCTCTGTCACTAGAGCCATTTGTTTCCTGAAGCTGAATCGGTACGAAGAGGCCAAACAGGACTGCGACTCGGCGCTGCAGCTGGATCCAGCCAATAAGAAGGCCTTCTACAGACGGGCAATGGCCTTTAAGGGACTACAGGTGACCAGCACGCTGCGACCGCCGGTTTACTGTAGTTGTGCTTGTGTTTTCCTGACACTGTCTGTGTGAAAACCTGCCAGGATTACCTGTCGGCCAGCAGCGACCTGCAGGAGGTCCTCCAGCTGGACCCCAAAGTCCACGAGGCCGAGCAGGAGCTGGAGGAGGTGACGAGTCTGCTGAGGCAAAGCTTGATAAACAGAGCTGATCACACATGAGGTAGAAGAGCAGAGCTAAATTTAACGGCACTAACGCAGCACCACATCTTCAGAGAAGGCTGTGTGTAATGGATAGAAATCTTGCACATTATACAACACGACAAAAAAATCTTAAGATTTGATGAATTCCTGCAGGCGTTGGCGACGGAGGCATGTTGAAAGTTACCTCGATTTCTCTGTTTTCTGATTTGTGACAAATCCCAGCTTGGATGAACTGATTTCAACTCAACATTTCATTAAAATGAGCAGTAAATTTATGTTCTCATTGCTGACATGATAAAAGAAAGATTCACTGCTCAATACAGATAAACTTTTAGTGAGGCAAGTTCTGACTATCTTTAAGATCATGTTTATTTCCCAAAATTACTTCTATTTGCTGAATGCCAGAATACCCAAAGCTACTTTAACTTGAGTTTACATACATACACTTCCTTGTATTTGCTAAAATGACTCCTTACTGTAGTTGGGTGCCCCTTTACAAGCTTCTCTCAATGGTTTTGGGACATTTTGGCCCAGTCCTCCTGACAGAACCGGTGTAACCGGAGTCAGGTTTGTAGGTCGTCTTGTCCCTTCCTTACTCAGATTTTCTGCTCTATTCACAAAGTTTGCATGAGTCTGACACCAGAGCTTTGTGGTGATTCCTTCACAATGTTGACTTTGTTGTCCTTAAGCCACTTTCTAACCAACTTCACTGCATGATTTGGGTCAGAAGTTTGGACTGATTTAACTATTAAATTGTGCAGTCTTTCAAAAAGACTCTGTTGCAAAGCGACCTAAAGTTTTAACTTTCAAGCAGATGTTTTGAGATGTTGGTTTGATGTTTCAACATGATTTGTGACGTGCAAAACAGCATAAATCGATATTGTTATCCCAAACTTAACATTTGGAACGGTTTTCTCATGCTCGTTTCCAAAAAATAATCTGGTTCCTATATCTTGGTTTTGGAGAAATGGCTTCTTCTTTCATTTCAAATCAGTAAAGTTGCAATTTCACTGGGGAAACCAACAACCTATAAGACATTTTGGTTTTGTTTTGGGTCAATTTATTCATCTCTGCGACACAGAACTCGTCTCCTTCCTGAGCTGTATGGTCACTCAATGTTTCTATTGCATTTGCACATATAATTTATAACATCTAGAACAAAAAGACTCAGAAGATTCCTTTTTGAAAAGTCCTAGTCTGTCATAGAAACTTATATTTATGTTGCTAAAATGGGAACGTAAACCTCCTGGTTCTAATGTGATTTGTATTTCATCATAGAGAATTTATTTCCTAGCTCTGGCAATTAAATGCTTCATTGTAAACTTCTTTGTATGAAGAAAGTATTACAAAACAATCTAAAAGTGTCTCATCTTCTGGCATTTAGTGAGTAAAACTAATTTTAATATACCAAATTCCCTAAAATGTTAAAAGTTTGGACTGATTTAATTACACTGACAAATTCAAGTCAATTATGTACATTGCAGTTCAATTCTAACTATTAAATTGTGCAGTTTATTAGCTCAGTTTATTATTCAAACCGGTAAAGTTTTCTATTCAGCGAAAGTTGAAATACAGCAAATGATGCAAAATTGGAGAGTAGTAGGAAAATGTTGCGGTGAGTGAAAATGGTCTGTTTGTCCTCCAGCAGCCTAAAGCTTCAAGCAGCAAAACTACAGCTAGCTCAGGATAACTGTAAGCTTTATCAAAAGCTTTAAGCCTCGTCTTAAAAGAAGACGTGGCGTCTTCCTCATACTTTTTAAAACTCCAGGAAACCTGCAAAAACCCCCTGAAGAGATCTCTGATCCACAATGTAGCTTGATCATTTGCAGCTTCATTTGTGACAAATCCCAGCTTGGAAGTCAGCTTTCGTTTGGTTCTGTGAGAAAGAGCAGCCATGTTTCAGCGCAAAAACAAAAATAAAAAAGGAAAACGACAAACGTTTACCCGGGACTGGAGCTCTGTGAACAACCATCTGCACTGTGCGCTGGGCTCGCCGCAGCTGCTCCAGTCTGCTTACATAACAGGATGCTCCATTTGCAAAGGCTAATGTCAAGGTACATGTGAGCTGCCGGCGCTATTAATCCTCCCCATTGTGATGTAATATATTGTAAATAGAGGTACTCTTGACACGGTGCAGTGTTCTGTCGTGTGCGGATGAAATGAGGAGAGACAGAGTGGATAATAATGTGTGCCTTATTGAGATTTCTACCAAGCTTAGGATGAAATATGCCAAGATTAAAACTTTTAGGTTGGTTTGTTTTTAAAGATATTTGCTTCAAAGCTGAGCTGGGAATGAAAAAAAAAAACATAGGAGGGAATCTAATATATGTGTTTATGTTGGAGTTGCAGATTATTTGTGGCACAGTAAAAAAACTGAAGATATAAACAACTTCATTTAATTCAGTAAAGATTTTACAGCAGAAACAAAACAATTGTCTTTTTTTTTCTTTGTGATATTTGTTTTACAAGTTAACTTCTTGATTGTGTTAAAGTTTTCTTTTACTATATGGACTTTTGGATCATGCTTTGGCTTGAGGGTCAGTAGACAGTTGTTTTTATTAATGTGTAACTTACCTTTACGCCTTGCTCCTGATCAAAATCATTTTAATAAAAAAATTAGACAGGAATTTCTGAAAACATAATAAAACAGTTTTTTCCATTTGCATGTTGAAAATAATTTATATCTTCCTCAGTAATCAGTGAGGACATTCGTACTTAGACGCAGGAAGGCCTGGTTGTCATCACCCTAATCTTTACCTCCACCGTTTGGATTCAAATCCAGACTCTGAGCCACACCAAAGCGCTAATATTATTTCCAGTCAGGAAACAAGGTTGGTAAAAATCTAACATTACTTTAAACCAACAATCTGCCAGGAGTACGAAGGCTGTAATTTTGGGATTACCCCTCGGATCAGGGCAGTGAAACTGCACTGGTTTACACATTTACTCCATGACTCAAAAATAGTCATCAAACCTCCTGAGGTTTGATGACTGCACAGACGCCATGATGTTGTGCTATTAGAAAACCCTGAGATTCTAAGAAGATGAAGTGTCTTCACAACCATATTGACTCATAGTGGGATGACCACAGACGTGTACGAAAAGGCAAACAGATCAGAATATGAATATATAAATTAACTTTAATGCCGTTCTGGTAACCGTTTTACCCAGTCAGAGTCACTTTTAGATACTATTTAAGTCATTTAATAAGAGCAGTGACATCATTTTTTCCTAAATTTGAGAATCCAAGTTAAAAATGGCCACCTTAATTCTTTAAAAGTTTCCATTGTCAACTATTCAAACGATGCTTTTGGACATACTTTAACAAATCTCACTGCTTTTAAAGAAAATATTATTTTTGTTTATGAAGATACAAATTTCAACACCAATTGAGCCATTTTCTTGCATTTCAACATAGAAGTACATTATTGCCACAAAAGATAGTTTGAATAATCTACAAAAATCTTTGACTTTGTCTACAGAAAATGCTCTAAAAACTATTCTTAGTATTGAAACAGACTAAAAAAATTCTAACTGAAAGTAAAACCTTTTAAAAATATTCTCACTTCCTACTTTAAACAGGAGGGTTTTTGAATCGTGTCACTACAAGAATACATATAACTACACAACACGATGTGCCACATCTTTTATTTCATTAATGTTTTTCTTTGATTAAAAATAATCTCTTCCAATTTAAATGAATAAACTCAGCTCTTTCTGGAATGTTTTTTTTTGTTATTTATTGTCATGGAATGTAAAAGCATGTACTGTATGTAAATAACTGAATACAAATGTAAATAAACAGTGTGAATGCTGTTTCTGTTATAATTTTGCTTTTACAACTTTACACATGCCTTCCTCAAAGAGTGAAGAGAAATTATTTCCACAAAGGGAAACTATAAAGACATGAAAAATGGTTAAATGTGGATCGCTGGAAAACCTGAAAAACAAAAACTAAGCCTCCAGAATGCAAAAATGTTTCCTCGATAAAATGCTTGATATGCATCAACATGCACATTCAGATGCAAGGAATCAAAATACAGAAGTTTCCAAATAGCCTCTTTTCAACAAAATTAGATGACAAATAATGACACCAGAACTCAAACAGGAAGAGGAATTAAAAAGAAAAATAAACTCCCAAACTTTTTAAAGCAGCTCATAAAGCAGCTGGTTGACTTCGCCTAGAAGAGGCCAAGCTGCAAAACTCAAGAAGTCGCTTTAGAGTCACTTTGGAGAAAATGCATTTTAGTGCCACCGTGGTGGTTATTGTTTTACATAAACTTTGATGGCTTTAGGGGAACATTTTAAAACCTCAATCAATTTGGTATAATCAGCATTAATACGGGCAAAACGTTTGGTCTTTGGTCAGCCAAAACAGCTTGTGTGAGGTTCATCCTTAAGCTTTTGTTCATTTTAATAATAGGCAGAAAATCATCCAACAATATTTGTATATTTCTCACATGAAGACAGGATGAAATAAAAATAAAAACACTATACACACAGGAAATTTTCCAAGGCACTGTAGGGTGCTGACAAATATAAAATTACTTGCATCAGTTATTTCTGAAAAAGAAAATTAAAAACATAAGAAAAAAAAATGCCTGCTAGTAAAGTACACTCAAAAGTTCAGATGCAGAAAGTTTCATTTGGATTTAACAAACAAAAAAAAAAGAACAATTCATCACCAATACTGTACAGTCACTGCAGAATATTGAATATTAGGATAAATGTGTTTGGATACAGACGCAAGTTCTCAATGCACAACATGAGTTCAAATAAAGTTCAGGCGTTTCCACAGAGGAAACTTCAGCTCAGATGGTAGAGTTGTCTAAAAAGCTTATTTCATTATTGCAAACATAATTTGGTTGAATCTAAGTCATTTTATTACAACAAGCCCTGTAATTTGTAAGAAATGCTACACGTTTGTGTGCAAAAGTAGGGATCTGTTCTGTGTAGAATATATGATTTAAGTAATTGCATTAAATTAACCTGTTTATGCTTCAACTGTACTTTGAACATGTAGTGAAATCTAATAAATCAGCAGAGACACAACTGTCCTGTTCACCAGTGCAGATAGAAAATCATGAAGGTGGCTGGATTCAATACAAAAATCAGTATTCATGACAAAAATCATTCGATTATACCAACAAGTTTGGATCAAAAACCAATTTTTCCCAAAGCTTAACATAAAAATAAGCAAATATGTAAAACAGGTACATGAGTCGCATCTTAAACAAAAGCAAATATATCATTTTTCTAACGTCTGATGATTCTGGAAAATATAGGGAGCTTCTGTATCATCTGGTCCCACCGTTAAACTCGAGTCTCTTTAACAATCCTCAGGGAATCCAAGAGCAAAGTGGAGACACCGGATCGTTCTTTGATTAGCAAAAACAAGCAAAAAAAAGACATTTCTGCAGACTAGATATCAAAACATTTAGGTTTCATGATAGCAGCTTAGATTACTTACTCCAACCAGCATCAGGAAAACAAGGGATGTCCTGATCAAGGCTTTTTCAAATGATTAAAATCAATTCTTGATATCTGGAGTTGGTCAGGAATTATGTCCATTTCCAAGGTCATTTTATATTTATTCCTACATTCTATGCACTAGATTTTGATTATTTAACACCAACAACCTAAATGTTTTTTACCCTTTACTTTCCCGTCTCTCATATTTTCCACTCTGTGCTCAACAGGCCGATTTGTGGACAAAAAGTGGCTCAGAAAGCAGCTGAAACACTAAACTAAACTCACCAAATGTTACAGCGTTAAAAGCAAATGGCTACATTTTTCACGAACCTTTTCAGCAACGATTGAACAGGAAACTTATTTAAATGTTATTAGCTGAACAATCTCCAATTAGGAATATTATAGCAAAGTAAATAAACCAAAACATCATCAGCCTGACCAAGGAGATGAAAAATGCAACTTTGTGCTAAAAACCCCCCCACAAAGTTGCTTCAAACTTAAAAAAAAAAAAAAGGAAACTGCAAAATCCTGGACGTTAAAAAGAGGGACAATCACCACCCTGATATAAATCATAGTGTGTTTTCTTTCTGCACTTGAAAGCTCTGGTATTCTCAGGAATGCAAATGGCATCAAGTTTGAAGAGTTTCCATCAACAAATCCTTGTTAGTAAAAGGCTGATTAGGATTTAGGGGAACAGAATCCTGAAGGGGACATCCCTACACACTGGGTTCAGGAAATCATTCTGACATGAAGGAACTTTCTGTGCCAATCATCACAGATCTGCTGACTCTCACGAAGCTCAGGGCCTGCTTCAAACATATTAATGTACATTCAAATCTACTTGCAAAGAAGCACACTGCTCTTAAAACCGGCTGAAACTTAACTAAACCAGAAGTCCAGGCCATTTTCTACACATCCAGCCTTCTTCCACTTCACCTTCTGTTACAAGACAGCTTCACTTTGCATCCAAAACCCTGATTTCTCCCAGATTAAAAGCTAACAGTTTGCAGCGGTCACACAGAATGAGGATGGAGAAGTGTCTTCAGATGTCTGTCTGTATGCAGCGCTTCCTGGTGGGGCTCACCGGCTGTGCCGCAGAGTTTCTGCTGGTTTCTTTAACAAACTCCTCCGGTTCTGCGTTTTCCCCAGCGCTCTCCTCGCTGATGTACAGGAACGTCCCGTTGCTCCTGTCTTTCGGTGAGGCGGGTGGGGATGAGGCCAGCAGGCGGTGGGCGAAGGCGGCGTGGGGAAGCTGCTCCAGGCGGTCGTGCTCCACCTCGGGCAGGGGTGTGATGGTGGGCTGGTGGGGCGGAGGGTCCATCTGGGCGGGTTTAGCGGTTTCGGGGTCCGAGCAGCTGAGCTCGGACGAGAAGTGGCTGCAGTGCGAGTCGGCCACCGAGGGGAGGCTGCCGCTCAGAGACGGCGAATCGAGCTCGGAGGAGTTGACGCTCCGCTGCTCCAGGAGCTGAGCGTCGATGTCGCCCTGCGTCTCGTTCACTCTCCTGTCTCCTCTGCTGCTGCCGCCGCCGCTGCTGCTCGCTCTCCTCCAGAGCTTACTTTTGCACTTTTTGCCCGCGGTAGCTGCGGTGGGGTCCTTGGACCAAGAGGACGAGAGGCCACACTGGTTGCTGGGCTGCCCGCAGCTGCACGCGGAGGGACACGAGCACAAGCATCCATCGGCGCCGGCCGCTTTGATGGCGGCCGAACCGCTGCTGCAGCTGGCTTCGTCCATGCTGCAGCAGGCTTCATCCATGCTGCTGCTGGCGCTGCCGTGCCTCACCTTGTCCTGCTTGGACTCGGAGTCTGCAGGAGCCTCCAGGCTGCTGTCCCTGAAAAATAAAACGTCACGTTTAACGGATCTACACATTTCACACAAAGTAAAATGGAATCACTTACACATGCTTCACTACATATTGTTGATCAATTTCACTTGATGATTTGCGGCGTGATGCAGCTAACGATTTTTTATCTGAGGATTTTCTCTTGCTATGCTGTTTTTGTCTTTTTAGTGTTTTATTTGTTTTTAATGGTTCATCTGGGGAAGCAAATTGCAAATTAGCTCATGCTGTAAATCTTATAATGTTCTGCTTTTGTTTAAACTTAACCCTTGACCCCCAAAAATAATAATATCTGAGTAATTGAATAATAATTTTAAAAAAAACACTTAGCTTATTTTATATATGAGAAATACATGAGAAAAGTAAAACAAGCATGTATCAACTCCTTCTGCGTAAGTAAATGTCAAAACATCGTAGGAAACGATACTTATGTTATGGATAGGAAATGCCGCTGTCCAAAACATTTTAAATATTTTAAATAAATCTCCTAAAAAAGGAGATTTATTTAAAATTTTGCCATTTGAGTAACTCCGGTTGAAACATATTTACAGACAAAGGTTTTTTTTTCTTTATCAAAATGTATATATTTGTAGTTTTGGCTCAGTGTCTCCTGTTCTTTCAACAAATGGCCTGTTTCAGATTCTGGATGCTAAAGTAAACAATCGATTACTAATCTAGTTGACAATTATTTTAATTACAATTAATACAATTCAATTGTTTCAGTCCTGATTCCACTTCATTTTCTTATGTTATTGTGTTGTCAAAATCCTGACTGATGTTTTATATTTTTGATAATTTCTTCTCACTCATTAAAACTGTGCGAGATACAACCTGGTAGATTTCCATCTCAGTTACATTTGAGTTGGATGAATAGAAAATAACCACAAAAATTTTAAGAATGCTTTTAACAAGTCATTGATACGGTTTGAAAAACAAAACAAGCTCCAAACTAGCATGCTTCCCGCTCACACACTCACCAGCCAGTAATGACGTGTGTGAGCAGCTGCTCCCTGTGGGACGAGTGTGACCTGAACGCTCACCTTTCCAGCGGCATGTAGGCGTTGAGGATGGAGCCCGCCATGGCTTTGGTGCTGGCGTTGTCGCTCATCGTCCCCAGACTGACGGTGGCCGACTCGCCGCTCAAACTGCAGCGCTCCTTCTGGACGTCGGCCTGCACTTCCATCCTGGAGGAAACGAGTTGAAAAACGCATAAAGAATTCAAACAAATCATCACGCCGCAAAAAACACAAAATCTCAGCAAATATTTTGGGTCTCGTTTGTAGTGAAAGTATCTTAGTGCACTTGAAGTGAGACAAAAC